CCGCCGATAACGATGTTGAACCGGCGGGGACAGTGCTGGCTCGCGAACGTGCCCTCGACCTAGTCCTCAAACCCCAGCGCGAAGGCGGCGGGAACAACATCTACCGCGCCTCGATCCCCTCCTTCCTCGCCTCCCTCCCGCCGTCCGAACGCAGCGCGTGGATCGCGATGGAGCTCATCCGCCCGCCGCGCGCTGTCGGGTCGTACCTCATGCGGAGCGGGGACGAGCGGGCGTTGAGGGCGGACGTGATAAGTGAGCTGGGGGTGTTTAGTTGGGCGCTTTTCGGGTTTGATGAGGGGAAGGGGAAGGAGGTGAAGACGGAGACGGCGGGGTGGCTCGTGAGGACGAAAGCGGAGGGCGTGGACGAGGGCGGTGTCGCTGCGGGCTTCTCGGTTTTGGATAGCGTTTTGCTCGTCGATTAGGCATGTGCGACGGTGAACCCGAGGTTTCGATGTACTGTGCTGTTATGGGCGCGTGTAGAGAGTGACTTGTGAGCTGAAGAGGGCCGGGGCAAGACCAAGGCTGGCGGGGGAGGTTCGGCAAATGCCGAGTGCCCCTGTCGCGCGTCGACGCGTCAACTGGCGATGGGGCCGACTCTACGTCCGATGTCCGTGATCAGCCGTGGTCGCTCTAAAGTCTAATCGGCATGGCTGGCGGCTGATGGTTCGGACGAGGAGCGAGTCGACCAAAACGGCGCTACGAGACCAATCACGGCGAATCTCCCTCGCTCGAACCTCGCTCGGTCCGATCACAACCTCAAAACAACAGCCTCCAAGCGTCGGCACGCACTGCTCGTCCCGAGGCGTCGAGAGAAGCGCGCGCCGCATCGCGGTAGGAGGCAGGCGCGGCCTGCGGGTGAGTACCGGGGTCGTTTGCTGAATAGACTCATGGCAAGCTGTGCGTCGCTCATATGACGGGCCCGATGAGTTTACCGCGGCGTGCAGATTTAGACATGGTATGAAGATTATGAGTGGAGGGAGGCCAATTGGACCTCTCCTTTGAGAGTATGCAGGGCCTTAGTACCTACTATCTATAGGTACTTGCTGGTGGAAGCCTAGGCCGAAAAACGCGGTCACGTGGCCTACCGAAGACGCGTCCGTAAACCAGATTGTCACGCCAGTCTCGAATCCAGACGTCCGCCGCTGTGAAAGCACGCGAGCAGGCACGCAGGCAGGACGTCTGATACCTCTTAGCCGCCAGCACGCCCATAGGGTCACGCGGGACATGGCCCGTCAACCCGTCACGCCCTCCCCATCCCGCCGATTTGCTTCGTCCGAGCGAGAGCGGCTTAGAAACGTCTATCTGATCACCATCATCAAACATATTGACCGAATAGGGTGGTGAGGGGAGTACAGTGGGGAGGTGGGATGAGGGCAAACGCCACGTTTCGCGCCTGATATGATCCTATGGGTGAGCTGGCGGCTAAGGAGCACTAGACGTCCCGCCTGCGTGCCTGCGTTCACAGCGGCGGACGTCCGGATTCGAGACCACCGGGTCAGGTATTCGCGGGGGCCGGACTGTTGCGCGCGTACGACCAGGACCTCGAGCTGCTTCACGCTGAAGCTGCGCTCGTACGGGTACAATATTGCTGGAATATAGATCCCAGATAGCGACAATCGTTTCTACCTGAGCAGAAAGGGAGGGAGGGACGAAAAGCTCTGACACGCGCCACACGAGATGGACGTGGCCGCGTTTAAAAAAGGCGCTGCAATTGCCGCCGACGCGTCGTGCTCAAAATGTACTTAGTTGCGAGCACGAGTTTCTCACTATACAATCTGGGCCCGGCCGTTTCCCACCGTATTCTTCCATCTGTTTTAGCTTGCATTCGCACGGCGCCTATACACGCGTAAGGACATCCCTTATAGCGATTAGCTAAACAGAGCAGTACGTGCTCGGACGTTCACGCGTCGAGCTTGCGAGTCTACCGTCGACAGCTAGCCTCAATCGCTTACACAATGCGGATTTATGAACATTTCTGCTACTCTACAATACCCCACGCAGCCCACCAATCGGTCGCCGACGGTCTTTCATCATCCTCACGCGGCTTATAAACACTAGAATGGCACGTCCGCAAGACCCGGCCCGTAAACACGTCCTCTCCCTCGCGCAACTCAATCTCCACTTCATCCAAGCCCTCATTCCTTCTTCTATCAAACAACCGACCCAACGTATTCGGATGCACCGCGCCCGGCGCGCTCCACTGCTTCTCCAGCACGACCACACGAGATAGCCGCCGCACGCGGATCGATGTGGCCGCATAGAGTACCTCGTCCAGTGCGTCCGGGCTCGACACCGCGATCGTAGTCACATGCGAGAGGTAGTCCATGACCGTCTTCACGCCGTGGCTAGCGATCCACTCGCGCACATTACCGCGCAGCCGCGGACCGGTCGTGCAGAGCGCCACCTCTTCAACGTGTTCGAGGGGGAGTGCCGTCATGAGCAGCCCAAACGCATCTTCGCGCTGCATCGGGTAAGGATGGTCCCACGCGAGATGGAGAGACAGAAGGGGTCCCGTCTCAGAGTCCTCAGGTCCTCCTGAGCGCGATGGGGATGAAGAGCCGCGACTGATGTGCGGGTACGTATAGCAGTCGACGAACACAGCATCACGATGGAAATATCTCCCGTCCGCGCTCGCTTTCAAGCTCACGATGCGCCCGCGTTCAGTGCCCCTTATATGCGACGTCACAGCGTGGAGATCATTATTCAGATGCGGTAGACCCGAAGTGGTCACTTTGATCGTGACAGAAAGCCGTGCCGATGTCGGGAAAGTCAGAGATCGAAAAAGCTTCTCGGCGGTACCGCCAGAGATAAATGATGCCTCGAGGGTCTCCAGTGCGGGCAACGATACGGCTTTCAGCGATGCTGGTGGCGTCGTGCAGTTGCTTGTGAAAGCGAGCTGTCGGAGTTTCGGAGTGGCGCTTATAGCGTGTAAAAGGACGTTCAGCTTCAGAACGGACTTCATCGACAAGATCTCCAGTGACGCCGGCAGGGCGAATCTGCGCGGGAAGTACAGTCCATCGCAGATGTTTAGCTCCCGGAGCCCGGTGGCACCGCAAAAGAGGTGCTGTGGGAAAGGGAAAGCGACACGGCTGAGCGAGGTGTCGGCGTCGGCGTGCATGGAGACGGTGCAAGTGCGCAAGGCAGAAGGCAGTGGCGCGATGCGAGATAAGAAGACAGCGGCGTTGACGAGCGCGCCGGCCTCAACGGACAAGTTCTCCAACCGACCGCCCACAAGCTGCAGCTTCTCGATCGCGCTCTGCATGTCGTCTCCGTCCGATCTGAGTGAGATGGCGAGGGAGATGCCGCACACTCTGGATCTCGCGAGGTACGCTCGAAACGAGGAAAGTGGGATGTTCGCTGGGTAGTCGGTCCAGAAACGAGCGGTTGAGTGGACGATGTATGAAAATCGCCGCGATGTGAGCTGGAGGTTTGAGCGTTGGTGATGGACTGGGATATCGGGGGAGTGGGCGCTCATGAGGAATATCATGGACATGAGCTCATCAGGTAAGAGCGGCATGTTCACACTCGCCATAAGGATGCTGGGTGTTGGTACCTCCGACGTGCCACCTCGAGTGTCGTAGTCTCTGCTTCTGCCGGTATAGAGGGTGTAGTGGAGTAAGGTCGAGATCGAGCAGCGGTGGTGGCAAAGGTAAGGAACAAGAACGGCCGTTCGGCGCTATTGTGCAACCACATGCCACGCGCGGCAGTCAACAACGCCAAACAACCCGGCATATATGAACGCGCCGCGGGTGGCCTCCTCCAACCATGACCACCACCCCTTTAGCTGCTCCCTCTATCGAGTGCGTTCTCCCGTGCTCGCCGCGTCCGCGATCGTCGACTCTCATGTGTCTACCTCAAGGCTCGCAGGCAGCACTGTGCGCCACCGTAGTCTTGATTGAGTATCAGTGGTGCGCCGAACCGTACTATCTCAACAGTCCTTCTCTGAGATCTCCCAGCTAGACTAGGGTTTATTCCATCCCTTCCATCCCCAAAGGTGTGTACCACCGCTTCATTTGCGAAAGCTCGCATTCTCAATCAACCTTCAGTTTGCGCCACACTAGACTACAGTTCAATTCCATCCTCTACAGACGAACCCATGAGTACATGGGGAGGACCGCGATGGGGGTGATTGGGGTCCCGACCTCCCATCGCACCTCGCGCATAGCGCAGTCACCGGTAGCGTGCATAGACACTGCGGCCTGGATGGTGAGGTCGCTACGCTGCCTTCGGGGCCACCAGGGTCCGAAGTCGTGGACATCATAATAGTGTCCCGTCCGGTGCTGCACAACAGGCTGGAGGCGGTGCACCTCGGGCTCAAGACAAGGCGCATGTGTGTAAAGCGCCTGCCTCGGACGGGTGCAAGCTCGTACGGCCATCCCCTCGGCGACGTTGGGTGCGCCACCCTCCGGTGTGGCGTCCCCGGCGTTGTCGGGAATCGCTCTAGTAGCGCTAGTGTAGTTCTCCTGTGGCCTTTCATGTACTGTTTCGTGTGCTCGAGTGCGATAGCCCGGAGCGTGGGTGACCGTGGGCCGATTCCCTCTTGGTCGTAGGCGTTTTGGTGGTCTCGAGGGGTAACCTCGGACTACATCCCTGCAGTGCGCAAGACCCATCATGGGCAGGGAGCGGTTACGCCCCGCAATGGCATGCAGGTTGGCCTTCACGCTCCTCCCTTCGATGGGCAGGGCATCGCACTTGCAAAATAGAGTCTTTACGCAGAGATATTCGTGTGATTGTGTATGACTCGCGCGAACGCAGAGTTGCCAGAGCCTCTGCGCGTAAAGCCTCCAATGGTGAACTACAGAATGAAATGCGACACTATACTCATTCGTGCGGCTATTGCACCCACGTCCCAGAGTGCTCGCGCATACTGCATTGTGCCGTCCTCCGTATGAGGCCCTGTAATCGGTTGCCATTGTTTGAACTGTAACAATCGATCCCCATAGTCCAGGCACCATAAACAGAGGAGTAAGTACTAGTGGTGCAACCACCGATAAACCACGCGTCGAGAAGAATGAAGATGGTTCTAACTTTGATGATCGATGGTTGATGACGGTGGACCTCGAGCGAGTGGTGCTAACCACAACCTTCAAACACTCCGAAAGACAATGGGAGAACAATGGGTCGGCACTTGACTGCGCTCAGCGACTCGGGACAGATCCTGGACGTGGTTTTCAACCTAAACGTATAAGAGAGTCATGAGAGCGCCTTGACATGTGTCAAGCTATTCCAACCAACCACTTCCTCGGAGTTCTCAGCTCGCCTCCGCGTACGAACAAGGTCATGGGAAACAACGGCGACAGGGACTTGACTCATGGCACCTTGGGTTATGTAATGCTCCGCGTCCACTGCGGCGCGCGAAAAGCGCATATGTTCCCGACAGGCGCATCGAGGCCCAGACTAGACACCAACAAGGTTAAGGGTGCACGAGACGACCTATCGAAGGTAGCGCTCCTGCAACAATGGCGCGACCTTCTAGACGAGTGTTATACCTACAGCTGTGCTGCAGACGTGGCCTACGAGATCACGAACCCTGGGATGGTCAGTCTACAGAGTGTATGCGCCTTTTTTCTTCCAAGAGTCGCTTCGTTATGAACCAATATGATAGGACGTATTGCAAGGCACGATTCAAGTTCTGGCTCACATGATCCCGGAGAGATTGAGGGAGCAAAGCTTGTGCGTACATTCTACACCTTTGTCCAGACACGAGCCGCCGCTTAACCACGACGCTAGGACTGCCATCAACATGTTAGTGAATCCCACACTTCCAGGAGCTACGCACTTAATAGCGCCATTACAGGTTTTTTGTGACCAAGGCGGCGAGCCGGACCTCCGTGAAAGATCCCAGCTTCATACCACTCGACGCCCTGCCCTGGGCCATGGCAGTAGATGCACGAACGGCAGATAGGATACTCCTGAAGAGCGCGACGACGCTCTACTCCGACGGACGTTCCAATTACAACGGTTCTCAGCATCCTAGTATCTCTGTCAGCCATAATCTTGATTGTTGCCGTGCTCGTACTCAATAACCTAATCCAGCCTAGTTCGAGCGTGCAACGATCTAGTGCCTCGATGAAAGGAAACGCTGCGTCCGCAGTTACCGTCTCGAGCCCGACCTTGCAAGCGCAGCCACTGTTGGAACAGTTACAGAGCAGCGGGCCACTCTCGGCGATCCTCGCTCAGCAGCACAGAGCATGTTCTCCTGTCACTGCAGCAACCGAGTTGACGACTTGCACATCTGACAATGGCTCATCGGCGCCGCCTCGTTGCGTGCAGTTCAGGTCCACTGCAGAAGATAGTCGTTCTGCCATGCAATTGGCCGCGCACTCGTTAGCCCCGCCGAAGTCAATCTTAAAGACACCCCTCGCCTGTCCCGTGAGGCAGACATTGGCAACTGAAGAGCTGAACATGGTGCTGCGCCAGAAGGATGAGCTTCAGGACAAGCTCCATGATGCCCACAACGAGATCGCGGCGAAAGAACATGAGCTGGTTGTGGTGCGTCGCGAGCTCGGCGAAAGGGAGAGGCAGCTCCGCGATACTGCTGAGAAGTTTGATCAAGTCTCTGAGGCCTTGAAGCGCTCGGATGACCGGTATTACACGACGAAACACGACCTGGAAGGGAAGCTTAAGCGACAAGGGGAGGAACTAGATGAACAGGGGCGTAAGTTGAAGAAGATCAAGGAATGCATCGATTAGCGTTCTTGAAGGATGCACCGGAAGGCATCCGGAGCACTATGGTAGTTATGTGATACTACTTATGGATATGCAATTCTATCCCATGCATTCGGTCATGTTTCCACCTATCTGTGATGGCATTGAGCGTGACGCGAAGTCCAAGCTTTATTTTGGTGCGGTGGTGTTCATGTCTGATCATGTGTAGAGTCGAGTTACGGCGTGTACAACGCAAGCGTAGGTGAGGGGAAAGGAAATTGCGCAAGTCGCGGTGGCTGCACGGGACAAGTCGCTCAATCGCCCGCGCGCTTATTTCATCCCAAACCGGCATCACGTCATCACTGCAACTGGATCACCAGCGTGTCTCAAACGACCATGGAGGCGCATTCAAAGTAAGTAGCATCCTCTTCCTCCTGTCTCGAGCCACATATCTTATGTAGTACTAGCCACGTTGACGTGAGTCCACGAGAATCAGGAGACTCGGAAAACGGCAAGGCGGCGATCTTGACGGCAATACAAGCGCGAGCGGGTGCCTATGACGCGTTAATGCACAGCGCGACGCACTCTGGATCTGAGCCCCGAAGTACGCGACGTGCATACTTGGACGTTGAACTTTCGACAATTGACGCAGCTCTCGCTGAGCTCCGACGGCGGCGCAATCTGCTATCGCCTGCCTCGGGTTGTCCTCCCGAAGTCCTATCGAATATCTTCCGCCACTGTATGGAGCTCGAGCCCAACCACTACCCGGATCCGAAGGACTATGTAGGCTCTATAACTGGTGAACTTTGCCCTCGTCTGGGTTGGATGAAAGTCGTCCAGGTTTGCAGCTCTTGGAGACGGGCGGCGCACGCCGACGGGAGATTATGGACGACAGTCACGACCAGTCTTGGCGCGCGATGGACCGCTGAAATGATGAGACTGAGCAAGGGCTTGCCTGTCTATTGGGACTTGCACCTTCCCACTACCCTCTCAATGGACCAAATCTCGCCGCTCTCCCTGCTACGCGACAGCGCGTCCCGAATGTACGGTTTACGCATCCTATATGATGGATCCGATCCAACTTATAGGGCCCGGCAGCAGCAGCAGAGTCTTCACCATCTGCCGACTCCTGCACTTGAGTCCCTGATAATCTACCTTCGTGACTCCCCATTCTTGCCGTTCAATGGCATGTTCCGCGACAAGGCTCCCAAACTTCAGACACTCTATGTACATAACGCCGAACTGCCTCGGCAACTCATGGGACGACAACTCACCGAGCTCACTCTCCTTATGGACGACAAATATCGAATTTTCTTCGAGGCGCGAGAGTTCGTGCGACTGCTTCGTGAGCTTCCGAACCTGGCGTCCCTCTGTATCAAGAACCACACGTTCGGCGTGAACGATAGGGACGAGGAAGCAAATTCTCAGGATGAAATGGTCGCGCAGTGTCCGAATCTGACAAGTGTCACTCTTCATCTCGAGAATATCGCCGGTTCGCTCTTCATCTTCAACCATCTTGCGACTAATACGAGCGCACAAGTGAGCCTAGCCGGTCACTACCATCCGGACCATCCGGACCCGGCCGCCCCCGCTCAACAAGATGCCGCCATTGCGCGCTTTGCCGAGCGCATGGCAACGAATCCCATCTGTGCGGACATGCGCACAGTGGAATGGCGCAGTTATGGCGTCGCGCACACGCCTATCCGTGAAGAGGCCGACAGAGTGGACAGGGTCTACGAGCGAACTCTCACTCTATCCGCCTGGCGAGCCAATCGACACGGCTACCTCCTGGCGGATTACGCCGGGTATAAATCGCCTCCACCTCCCGATCTCAAGATCACCCTGGGCTTCAGGGCCTATCAACCTGAGCTCGATCCAGAAGATATCCTTCCCTGGCCACAACCGTTCCCCTCTGCGTTGAACGTGTCTTTACAGACAACGGGACGCCGTCGTTTCACCGTCGGATCTTGGTCAGACGTGCTCTCAAGCTTCCCTCAACTAAAATGGCTACGAGTCGACAGAGAACTCGCCGAATACTTCCTCAAGAACCTGAATGAAGAGTTCGGCCCCAGCTTCCCACGATCCATCAAGACGCTCGCGCTGCTCGGCGTCTTCTGGGGAACGGACGAAGATGACAAGCTTGAAGAGTTGTCAACGGACCAAATGTTGGCCAATGTATGGACCGAGGCGCAGGAATCGGACGGCGCGCTTGAGAATGTCATCGTGGGGGACGTACTCAGTTGCAGTGGCGATTGGCAAGCGTGCATTGACGAAGCGGGGGTGGCGTTTGAGTTCGTCAAACGCCCGGAGTGGATGGATGAGAGTCATGAAGATTGGGACGATCGTACAGATTGGTGAATCTCTACTCATCATCTTCAATACGTCTTCTATACACTAGTCAAGCGCATACGAAGAGCGGACGCATATCGTGTAGTACTGTACATCGTTGAGCCATACCAATACTACATATCATTCTGCCTCCAGATAGATACAAAGCCACTATTCCATTTCGCACTTCCATCATATCATGAGAGAGTCGACACTCAAAGCGGCGCCGGAAGTCCCGACGGCGTCCCACCTTGCATCGCAGCGTCATGCGCGCGTGCGAGGAAGCCATAGGCCGGGAGATAGCTATCGAAATAAGGCATCATCTCCTTTGCGCCCGGGGTCGCGCGCCAATCGCGCATAAGCTCGCAGGCCATGGCGAACGAGGATAGGACGTGAACGCCGGCCGCGCGCATACGGTCGTTGGCGTCGTTCGCTGTGCGGACGTCGAATGTGCCTAGTACATGAGAGGGGTATTGAGTGTTACTATGGGTGTGAAGAAGGGAGGGGTACGTACCGCTCGCGTCAGCGTTGTGCCAGACTGAGTAGCCCGCGTCGCGAAGGGAGAGGGCGAGGAAAGCGATGCAGACCTACCATGGCGAATCGGTTCAGTTCATGCTGAGACTATGAAGTGAAGAGTGGAAGAGATGCTTACGTCGGTAGTAATACCGGCGATGATAACTTGCTTGCGGCCGGTAGCCTCAACAGCCTTGCGGAAGTCGGCGTTATCCCATGCATTCACCTCACCCTCACGCTTCACGAAAGGTGCAGTGGGATGCATCGCGATGACCTCGGGAGGAATGGGACCGTTGGTACCTTCAAGGTGCCGTCAGCCAAGATCTCAGATAACTCGAGGGGAGAAGGGGGCTGACCGGTATCCTCGCTCGAAGTGATCACGGTCGGCAAGTTGAAAACTTGGCCGAGCGCGGCGTGGGCGATGATATCGTTCTTATAGTGCATGGGGTCGCGATCGCGCGCGAGCTGGTACAAGCCCTCTTGTTGATCGACGACGACGAGCATCGCCGTGTTCTTGTCGAGGCGCTCATAGGTGAACTTGCTGGACATCGTGATCTTCGGAGAAGTTGGCTGTAGCGAGTATCTGTTGCTCAGGATGAGAATGAGAGGGATCCGAGCTGAAGATACCTCGCAATGGTCAGACAGCTCTTATACCATTGCACTCAAAGCATGTTCAACTCGGCCATTGGCTACGCCGATACAGTGAGAACTACTCAGCGAGCTTGGACTGCGCGATCGCCGACGGACTCGGAGACGGGGAAGAAGAGGGCATGAGCGGGCTGCACGGCAACCGGGGTAAGATGTTCTCTGCGACATACACCATGCCCGAGGTAAAACTTACTTCGCAAGGTTCGGTCCTCGTCGGTATAAGCCTAGGTATGGTTGTCCAGTGACGGAGGCGCAGGAAAGAGGTCGGTTCCTGTTGCAGCGCACGCACGCATTCGCCAAGAGACGAACGGCCACCAGCGGCATACCGGCATGTAAGATTTCCATTGCACCTTCATCGAGCATAAGGAGTAAGCAAGGTGCAGCATCGCACACGACGAAGTACCGAGAGGATTGGACGAGGACTAGCTGGGCGCAGTATGGACGGCTTAACCGTACACAGAGGACTCATGACGAGCCTATCAGCGCTGGCTGTCATGGGCTCCTCCGTAGTCGTACTCTACGCCCCACGTACCCTCCCCAAGCCGTAACAATGACATTGGTCCGTATAACCGTCCAATGAGGGGTCCTCGCACTTGATATCGCATTGGTCATCCTACACGATAGATGGTGGTCTCGGTTCAAACATCGACAAGCGCCGGCGTGTGAGTGGATGTGAACGACCTCCTCGCGCACATGCTCTGCTCGTGGGTTCACTGGGTTGCGACCTTCGATCGCTGGAGCGTCAATAGCTTGATGGATCTATACATTTTGTGATATCGTGTAGCAAAAAGGATACATGGTATATGGTACATTATACTTCGATCGTTCTCAGCGCTTGAATCCTGCGCGTGCGTACGGAAACAGGAGTAGTCTGGAGTCCATTTTCCCAACTTGAATTCCACAACAGCCAATAACACCACCGCCAACCACCGACCAACAGCCGCAGCCGCCCGTGTCGTACGGTAGCGGTCATACAACAACTCTTCATAGTACACCGATGTACACCGGCACTCTACAGCATCCTCCTCTCCCTCATCTCCTGCTCGAGTATAACGTCAGGGTCGCGGCCCTTGACCTCCGGCAAACAGATGGCCGTCAAGATTGCACCGGCGAGACAACAGCCGAAGAAGATCCAGAGTACAACGGGTGTGCCGACGTCCTCCGAGAGCGCGTTGAACGCCAGAGCGGAGATGATGGCGCCGCACTTGCCGCATGCGGCTGAAATACCGTGTGCGAAGGCGCGGTAACGCGTGGGGAAGACTTCCGCGGGGTACAGGTAGGTGGTCCTGTAAGTGAAGGTCAATACGAGAGTACAGTCAATAACGAAAGGAGGAACGTACGTGTTCGCGCCGAAGTTGAAGAAGAACTGCAAGAACGCGAAGCACACCACGAACGCAGCCGTGCTCAGACGATCAAACAACCCGGCCATGATACCAAGGAACAGCGCCTCCATAAGGAAACCCATAATCTGAATCGTCTTGCGCCCGAGCTTCTCAACCGTGAGCACGGTGACGTAGTATCCCGGTACGAAGCCCAAAGCGGTGATAATGATGTTGCCGATGGCGATCTTCCAGAGGCGTTCCCATGGCGTGCCGTCCTTGCCGTCGAAGCCAATCTGTTGAAGCACAACGTTCTGGTTGAGGTTGATACCGTAGAAGGCAATGTCGAGCAGGAACTATGGAAGATGTCAGACTCGGGCTTCAGTGTGGAGTTGATGGACTAGGTCTCACCCAGCAGCCGCCGGTACCGATGATCAGTTTCAGGTGGCGCCACTCGGAGAAGTACTTCAAGAAGTCGTGGAAGTGCGCCTTCTGCTTGACGATGGGCGGCGGTGCCGGTGCAGCAGCAGGTGCGGTCGTAGGCGAGACGTTGTCTGACGAGCCACCAGATGCGGAGGCCTCGTCGGCGTGGGCCTCAGCCTTGAGCTTCTCGATGGGATCCTCCTCGTCTTGCGTGCGCTGTTGACTCTTGATGAACCTCGTGGACTCCGGAAGCGTGAGACGCTGGTACAAGGTGCCGAAAGCCGGGATGAGGGACAATCCGACGCAGATACGCCATACACCGTCGACCTTGCTGGTCTTGCCCTCGTCGTTCATGACGTGCTTATAGATGGCAAGGACGACGAGGAAGACGAGCGAGCCGACGAGTGAACCCCAACCTTGGTTGGCGAAGATGTAGGAGAGCATGGTACCGCGTTTGCGAAGGTTTGCACGGTCGGATGTAATCGAGGCGCTCATGGGGTAGTCACCACCGACACCAATGCCGAGCAGGATACGGAAGACACCGAGGTAGATGAGGCATGCGTCCGGAGAAAGAGAGCCGGTAGGTGTCGTAAGGCAGAGAATTGTAGCCAGAATGATAAGCATCAACTCCTTGCCGTCTGGCCGAAAGATACAGAAGTCAGTACAGAGCGCGCAGGAGCAAGGGCAGGACTGAAAGCGTACAGATTGCTTTACGGCCGAGTCGGTCCGCCAAGTACCCAAAGAGGAACTATTAATGCTTCTCAGCGCGCTATACCGAGATGGAGAGCAGATATTATACACACCTGACCGATGACTGAGCCGATGTTCGCACCAGCTTTGACGAACCCTTGCAGGCCAGAGGGTAAGGCTGCGCCGCCGTAGAGACGGTATTGCAACATCGTCGCGACGGGCTGCAGAAGACTGGTTCAGTAACATTGCAGTCAAATTTTGCACCCATACTCACATTGATGATGAACAAGTCATACGCTGAAGATATTGTCAGACAAACGGCTGAAATACGAAGAACAACGCAGCCCACCGTCGAGGAAAAAGCCGACCTAAATTTCAGGCACAAAGTCAATAACCGCGCACACGAGCAGTAAATCAATCGGCACTGACCCCCGCAATCCCGAGCAGCTTGACCTCGGTGAACGTCAGGATCCATGGCGGCCTAGTCGACGAGTCGCGCTCGAACTCTTCAAGATTGCTCTTGTAGCGCGGTGGTTCCTCCTGAACCTGGGCCGTCTGGTTCAAAACGCGCTCCTTTTCGTTGCTCGAACTCGACGGTGAAGGCGTAGCCATCGTCGGACGATCGGATATAACGGTGGTGGTACAAACGAAAGGAAGGGGTGGTCGTTCGTAGACGCGGACGGGCGGACGAGACCAGCTATAAGAAGCCGGGTCAGGAAGCACGTTCGTGGGCCGGGACAAGGTGGAGATCCACTGCAGCGCAGGACTTTTGGCCGAATGAGATCAAAGCCTTCGAGATTCCGGAAGCCGAGCCGCGTGGAGCTTTGACCCCGCCCGCCGCCCCGGGCGCGGATGAAGAACGCTCCATGCCGAGGCATATTGTGCCGGCAGTTTTCCGGTCTTGGCCACAGCCCAGCGTATCGATACCGCAGAGCTTCAGACCGAGGCACACGACCAGGCCGCAGAAGAGGACATAGCGCGGGCGAGACACAAGTTGTGTGCGCGGGTTGTGGCAAGTGTGGCCCGAGTGATCCCATCAGGCCCATCACTGACGTTGTTGGGTACTGGCCATAGCGCTGTGGCTACTTCTCGACACCGAGCCCTCGCACGTTTGTACGAATCAAGGTAGTGGTGTTCGTAGCTACGTACAGGATCTAGGGACATGACGCAGGGAGGTATATAGTTGCGTTTTGCGATGATGGAAGGATGGGAGCCTGCCAGGCGCTGCGGCGACCAAATATTACTCTTTCTATCGTACACAGACTTCGAGCTTGTCCATGAGACTGACAGTAACGAGAGGAGTCGTCATAACCTACGAGGGAAAGGAGCCAGATGGGTATGATATTCGTGAAGGTAAACAAGCTAAGTAGGCCGGATGCTACAGTGCCGGACTTGAAACGGACTCAATACTCCGTAAGATCATCCCAGTCTTCATGACCTTCTTGCATACAGTATGGTCGACGCACTACCTCAACAACGACACCCTCCCTCCCAATGCAGTCCTCAAAGCCGTCACCCTCAACCGAAACGTCGCCCATAATGTACGCCTGTAAAGATCCCCCTTCCTTCCGCGTCTCCCGCCAGGTCTGGGCCAGCATTTCATCGTACGACACGTCCGTAAACCCATCTTCGTCGACATCGCGCCGAAAGCCCAGCAGTGCAAGGCACTGGAGTGATCTCGGTAGCGTGGGTGGAGATGATGTATAGACGGAGAACAAGAAGCGCGGCGCAAGTTCCCTGTCGAGACGTAGCCATTCGAGGCAGGGAAAGCCTCGCAGGACATTATTCCACCCAGATACGGAAAAGGGATATCGTCTGCTCGGTTGTAGGGAGACGTTCCGCGCCGAAGTGAATGGCTGTGGCCAAGGGAAGATGTCCCCCGGCGCCAGGCGTATGGGGTATACGGCTTCGATTCCCAAAGCGAGCTTGAAGTCGGGGTCCGATCGTCTGTTGTACCCTGCGTAGTCGGAGAGTAAGTACTCCGCGTTATCGTCACGCCATGCGGAGAGTGTCAGGGTCCGTTCGTAGATGGTGTCCACCCGATCCGTCTCTTCGAGAACGGGTGTACGTGCGACGCCGTAGCCGCGCCATTCGACCGTTTCCATGCTCGAAAGCAAAGGACTGCCCTTCATGCGATGTTGGAACAACGAGATGATAGAGGGCCATAGAGCGTTGGACTGAGTGGGTGTGGCATCACCAGCAAGGCTGACGCAGGCGTCTGGATGAGGGAGCAAACAGCTGAAGACTAGAAGAGCGCCGGATGCATACAAGCAATGTATGTCGATCTGCTCGAGATGTGGACAGGAAAACGGTTTGTCGTCGATAGAGGGTATGTCCGTGTCTTCGATTGTGAGCCAGTGGTTCTTCAAACAGAGCAGTTGAAGGTCTGGCAGATTGCCAAGTATCGCCAGTAACTCCCTGGCCGTATGCTTGGTTGTTATACACGCATCATTGTTGCCGCTCGTTGTGACGATGGCGAGCAACAGCCACGTGTGGCAGGATCCCGTACATACGTACCGTGTTTCGTTCTTTCCCTTTCCCTCAGTCGCTTCGTTCACGCACTGAGGGTATGTCTCTACAGTACTATACAGATGCTACCTACTTACATACATACAGGAGTTCGCCTATCTGCTATAGGTACGATAGATACAATACAGTCGCTTCGTTCACGCACTGAGGGAGTTCGCCTATCTGCTATAGGCGTCAACAATCATTGGATGTCAACGTGAGGTGCGTGAGACGCAAGCCGGGCAGAAGATCCCACGACAGTACAGCGTTATGAAGATACAGCTCGCGAAGACGCGGCATGTGTTTGGCGAAGACGTCATCGGGAAGCTGATGCTTGCGCTCGCGCACAAAGATGTAAAGCGCTTCGAGCATAGGTGCCGGCTCTTTGCAAAGGCTCCCTAACCGCTCGCCTCCTCTCGCACTGCACAGGACCTGTAGTCGTGATAGCCTATGCGCGTTCTTGGTGATGAGGGTGAACGGATAGTACTCCTTCCCAGGCGACGCAGTGCATCGCAGGTCGAGACTCAGGGAAAAGTTCTTGCTTAAGCGAACCATCTCCCTCGTCCACCACAGACCCATCGTCGTCGTAGCCGTGGTCCACAGTCGACCATCCGCGAACGCTGCAGCCCTCCACGAGTGGCAGACCTTGATGACTTTCATCCAGCCCTGCCGAGGGCGCGGTTTCCGAGTTACCAGCTCCAGGTATTCATCGGGGTCTGAGTAGTAGTTGGGTTCGAGGTCGGCGAGGAAGAGGAAGATGGACGACAAGATCTCGGGCGGGCAGGCGGCCGCGAGGATCAAGGAGTTACGATCACGTCGGAAGTCGGCGAGGGCACTATCAATAGCTGCGAGCTCGCTGTCCATGGCAGCGACACGGGAGTGCGCTCCGAGATCCCGTCCATTGTAAGATGCAGCTCTGTGTACGGCCGCGCGCTCCCGTATGGCGGTGACACAGAGTGATCCATCCGGTGTATTGACGCTCTCTTGATGCTCTCGTCTATAGAAGGACTACCATCAGTCGGTTCACAGTCCACGTATGGAGCCAATATGATGATGCATACCCTTGGGTGGGCTGGAGGCTCGCGTTCATGGCCGTTGGGATCAAACGACGCCAACGGCCGATAGGAACCGACGCGTCTAGACGCGCGCCTGCGGCGTCTGCATCATGCACATCGATCGTGGCTTCCTTTACATAGCTTGGGATATTGCTATACTACTACTCGATTTCTGTTCCTCAGTATATCATGTTCCTCAAGCCTTCTGCACGATCTGCCCAGCATGTCGTACTAGTACGCAGAACTTAGCATATTAGTTGCAATATGTTGAGTATATTAGGATGAGATATGTACAATGTCCATAGTGTTCATGCACCGGCACATTAAGTCTACTGAGATCATCACAGCTCAGTACGATCATCATGATCCTCGTGGCCCTCGCGAAGCCATGCTGGGCGCGCGATACCGGTCAGCCGCACCCCAGCCTGCTCCACACATGGATCGAAATCTCCACCCTCGTAGTTCAGGTCGCCCACTATGACCTTCTCCAACACACCACCCTCCTCACGAACAATGCTCCAGATATCCGCCAAGCATCGGTCAGGGGAGTTGTCTACCCCAGGGCTTGTGCCAAAGGAGACGCCCAACACAGCGAGAACTTTGAGAGCTCGGGGTACTGCCGCCATAAGCCACGAGACGTTATTCTGCAGAAAGCTCTCTGCAAGCTCTCTGTCGACGCGGAGGAACTCCAGATGGGAGAGGTTCCCGATGGTGCTCCCCCAATCATAGACGTTAAACGACTGGTACTTCGAGGTCTGCAGCGAGACGCTTCGGGCGGAGGAGAAGAGAGTTGGCCAAGGAAGTAGGACTTCCGGGTCCACCTCCGACGAGGTATGGGCTTCCCATCCTAAAGTCAAGGTAAAATCGGGTCGAGGCGGCGCATTGTACCCCTCGTGGTCCGCAAGAAGATAATCTGCGTTATTCTCTCGCCAAGCCGAGAGTACGAGTGTGCGCTCGTGGACTGCGTCGACCTGGTCTTCCGGATCGGGGAGAGGTATCCGAGCGTAGCCGAAACTACGCCATTCCACGGTGTGTATGTCAGCGCGCGATGAGAGGCTCTCCAGATGAAGCCGTAGCAAGGCTAGTATCTGGTCGATGTGTTCCCCTCGCCATCTGACGGTGAAACAGCCAGCGAGGCTGATTCTGGCACTGGGATGATGCGAAAGGCGACTGAGAAGGAGCATCGCAGCGTTGGCATTGTATGGATGGCAGGTGATGTCGACAAGGCGAGAACAGTTGATCGGAGTTGTGGGACCTAAGGGTACGTCCGCTTCCGTCACATCCATTATGAAGTTCTTGACGCAGAGTGCCTCGAGGTTGGGTAGAGCGGACAGAAGTTCGGCAAACTTGCCGAATGCGATTGATCCTGAGGTACCGGCGTCGGTAATGAGGGTTAACTGAGTGAGTCTCGCTAGCCCACGCAGGGTATCCAGCGGCATCATGGCGTTGCGTAGATAGAGCTTGTCAAGTGAAGGCATTTGCCCGGCGAAGAGGTTGGGGTCTGGGAAACTCTCAAATCCACGAGTAAAGATGAGAAGAGACCGCAGTTGTGGGGCGGGTTGATGGCAAAGTTTCGTAAGGGATTGTCTGTTGTGGCCATCGCACAGGATCTGCAGTCGCGAAAGTCGTCCGACGTGGCCTTCAATCATCGACATCGCGGCGGCAGGATCGAGGTTCCTTTTGTCCAGCACAATATCCAAGCTGAGCGGAAGACTCCTACTCAACTGGAGCATCTTGGTCGCGTACTCCATCCCCAGGGTAGTCGTGATCATAGTCCAAAGCGCACCGTCCATACAGGCGGCGGCTCGCCAGCTGTGGCAGACTTGAGTCGCTTTCAGCCATCCCAAGCGCGGACCCCGCTCGCGCGTCACAACGGCCAAGTAATCTTCTGGGTCTGGGTGGTAGTTCGGCTCTTCATGAGCGAGAGAGCGGAAGATTGATGACAAGACCTCGGGAGGGCATGCGGAAGCGGGGATGAGGGAGTTACGCCGGCGTCGAAAGTCCGCAAGCACTGTATCCACGGATAGTAGTTCAGCGTCCATTTCTGCGACGCGTGGACGCGGGTCGAGGCATCGTTCGCCAAGACCCAAGGTTTCGTAGTAGTTCACTCGGGACTGCAAGGCGGCTACGAGGGCGTTGTCAGCCCCGGGCAGCTCGCTGTGGATGAAATAGTGTGAGTAGTTCGTCCTCAAAAGAAGGGCTGCTGAGTGCGAACCTTTGAGAGACACGTATATCGTCCATATTGTCCACGTCCATGGTCGTTCAGGTCAAGGCTAGCCCATCCGAGCATCATGCCCACGAGTACAGACTTGCAAAGAACAACCAGCTACGTCATCGGAGCTCTTCGTGATCGCTTTAATTGAGGCGTTCTTCTCGGCTGAGCCTGGAATCGCCGCGTTGTCAAGATCATCGCGGTAACCGACGACGCGCGCTTGTTTCATCGTTCGAACGGCGTCATGGCCTGTAAGTATCTGGCACATCGCCGAGACAGCAGAGGAACCGGCCTCAGGGATATCCCATCGATATACAACGCGCGTTACGCGTTTAGGGCATGTGGTCAAGCTCGGTCATGGGCCAGATGAAAAATCTGAGGACATGGTGTCGGTTGGCAAGGAACTGGCTTGCGTCGCGCGAGGCAACGCGCGACAGGGGCTTTCGGCATTTGCCGCGTCCGGCGAATCTCTGACTCAGAATTGGCGTCAGTAGTCTCGCAAGCATGCAATCACACACGATAAACATATACTGACAGTATGTGGGGAATGTCGCCCATGAAGGTGATCGTCGCGGACAACCGGAGAACCTGCTCATTGCGCCGCTCGGGCTCGCGCAGCGCGGTCCGATGATCCGACAGTCACACACGCGAAGAGTATGGAGATCGATTCAGGCGGGTGATAGTATAATATGTGATCGTACTGTGAGCCGTACATGTATCGAAGTCAAGTCCTGTCACTATCATTCTACCATCCCAGACGGTCATCCCAATCTTCATGAGCCTCCTCCATATAAAGCGGATGACTGATGAACTCAATGTTCACCCCGGCCTCTTTGACGCAGTTATGCCAATCACATTCACTGGCCACCTCCCCCAAAACAACCTTCGATAGGGCGCCACCCGACTCACGAGCGTTCCTCCAAAAATTGGCTAACCTGTGGTCCTTGGTATCGTCGCCGTCCTGGTCGGCTGTTCCCCAGCCTGAGACGCCTAGCAACGCGAGTGTCTTGACTGTCCGTGGTACATCGTCGCTGTATTCCTTACCAAACCTCCTCAAGAAGCTTTCGGCGAGCTGTCTGTCGACGCGCAGCCATTGAAGTCGAGGGAAGCTCGAAAACATGTCCGGCCATGAGTACACGGAGAGACGGAAGCGCTCCGTCATCTGGAGGGAAAAGTTTCGTGTGGCGGGGAAGGGTTGCGGCCAAGGAAGGATTTCCTCTATGGAGTTTATGGGTCGAGGAACGGCGAAGAATCCCAACGTGAGCTTGAAGTTAGGAGCTGGGGGTGCTCTGTAGCCGTAGTACTCCGATATGAGATATTCGTGCCGATCGGCTCGCCACGCAGACAAAGTGAGCGTTCGCTCGTAGACCGTGTCCATCCTGCCATCCTCCTTGGGCGTAGGCCAGTGGGAGACACCATAACTGTGCCACCCAACCGTCTGCATGGTCGTGCAAAGAGGGTTCGTTGCCGTGCATTCGGCAAATCGAGCAAGGGCGGCGGTCTGGTGTACCTCGTTGTACTGGTGAAGACCGGCGAGACTGATTTGCGCCTCCGCGTGGGTTGCGAGATGGTTGAAAATGTACAGCGATCCGGCGATGTATTCACAGTGGAGGGTGACACTGATGAGTTTCGGACACTGCGCGACCACTTGATCATGATGCTCGGGATTCCCTTCCTCCGAGTCTCCTTCGAACTCGGTATTGTAGTTCTTGATGCAGAGAAGGGCCAAGTTTGAAAGCCGACACAGTAGGTCCACGAAGTCCCGCGCATGGAACCAACTCCCGTCATCGACGTCCACAATGAGAGTGAGCTCCGTGACTCGCTGCGTCATGAGATGCCAGGGCGGGAAGGCGTTGTGGATATATAACTTTTGAAGATTAGGAGGCAGATCGTCGAAGATGCTGCTCAACGATGGATGCGGTCTACGAGAGTATATTCTTAGGGATTCTAGTCGAGGCACTGTTGGGTGGCTATCTTGTGGTGCGTCCCAGCTAGCTCTGGCGCAATCATAAAGTATGCATAGACTGGATACCCGAGGAGCGCTTTTGCGGAGCAGACAGAGAAGCCGTGCGTTCTTTTGAGGATTTTTTGCGACACGCAGATCCAGATGTATGGGCACGCCCCTACTCAATCGCACCATCTCATCCGCCCATCGCATCCCAAGACTCGTCGTGACCGTCGTCCACAGTCCCGCGTCGGCGTGCGCCGCCCGTCTCCAAGAGCAGCAAACATGGACGACCTTCATCCACCCCATGCGCGGGGGCAGTTCGCCCTTCACTACGCCAACAAAGTCCTTCGGGTCCGGGTAGTGGTTGGGCTCGAGCTCCGAAAGGAAGCGGAATATGGACGACAGGACTTCGGGAGGACAAGCCGAGGCGGGCGACAGCAGGTTGCGTCGTCGTCGAAGCTCGGCGAGCGCAGTGTCAACTGCCACAAGTTCGTCGTCCAAGTGCGCGCGGCGTTCGCTTCGCGGTTCGAGGCGCGCAGCGCTATGCGTCACCGCGTCGTAGACGCCCACTCGCGCATGTATCGCGTCCAGGATCGCGGTCTTGCCATTATATGAGGCCGTTGCTTGCATAGCGTTGCCACTAGGACTGCACAGCGCGTCAGACGGGTTGCTTGAGCTTGTGTCGGGCGAAGAGATGCTAGATAGACTGACTTCGAGTTGACGTTCATGAGCGTTCAGGACAAGATCCGTGTCGCGTCGCGGCACGTATCTACAGCCAGTACCGAACCTGAGCTGCTTATTCCTATACTCGGTATGGTCGGACCGAGCGCCAAATGCCAACGCGCAACGCGCTCCTGAGCACTCCTGCTTGGACGCGCTCCGCACGCTGCTTCGGGCTTGCTTCGGCTACCCACTGGCACGACGGCACCCTGGTCGGCGAAGGCGACTCTCTCTGCTTGAGTGAACCAGCGTCTACAAACATGAACACACACGGCGGGCAAGGAAATCCTATTTTACACCTTACACAACCACAATTATCACCATACTATATATTACGACCAAAAGCTCGTAATGCGTAGCGCGCCGTCGCGAAGCGAACTTCTGGCAGGGTCAATAACGCGTACCGGGCCGGCTTCGCCCGTGCGCCTGCAGCCAGCCTTCCCCCGCATCGCGAGCTTCACTGTAATGCCACGCAGCGACCTATGAAGCTAATTCGGGAGAACCTCGAAGCGTGCATACAACCCTTTGAGGGCCCCAAGTTGACGTCGTAAAACCACGGTAGTATCAGGGACGAAGGCCGGCAGACAACGCCTCTTAAACTCCGACCAACGCACGCGTATGTAAAGGGAACACCTTGTGCGTGGTATAAATACGACTGATAGCACAAGACAAGACAAGTACACGCATTATATCGCAATACAAGTAACCTAGAGCATCTACGCGGCGACCATCGAAACATCCGCAGTCATCGAATCAAGCTCGCTCTGCTCAGCGGTTTTCCTAGCAGATCTTGAACGCAAGTCTTGGAGTTCTTCTGTGAGCTTCGCCTATAAGGTCTAAGTGTTAGCTTCCCTAGTTTCCTACTAGTATCAAGACATATACGCACAATCTTATCTTCCAGGTCAGATTTGTTAAAGTGCGTCTTGTATGGCGCAAGTGGCTTCTCGTCGTCTTTTGCGTCTGGTTGAATGTAGTGAGTATGAACGCGAGAGAGGGAAGCGAGGATGGGCTTACTGAAGGCGGCGTACATGAAGACTTCGCTCATGTAGTCGTGGTTGCGCTTGTACCGTGTAGCAGCAAGGGTTCGTGTAGATATGTGGTCTATATCCTCAGCTATATCACGAATCAGCGTGGCCACGCAAATCCGAATAATATCTGGCAGACCAGCATCTGTCTCTTCTTCGAGACGCTGTTGTGGCGGTGGTAGGTTTGGTGGAGCAGCTCGCTGTACGGGCTCAGGCCAAAGTCACGATATCAAAAGGATATGGCCCACCTGCTGGGCCTGGGCCTGGGCCGCCCTCTGCCTCTCCATCTCCCTATTCTGCTGCGCCAACGCGATCTGCCTCGGGTCCGTCGGCGGCGGCGGCTGGCCCCTGGGTGGAATCGTAGCCCTCTGCCCCGCCTTATCACCCAGCACATACATCCCCATACCCGGCGGTATCTGCTGCAGCGGGTACGCCCTAATTGGCGCCATAGCAAGCTGAGGCGGCACCGGCTGCGCCGGCCCGCGCGAATAATGGTACAGCACGAACGCCGGATGCCCACCCCGCACAACCCTATACCGCCTCCTAATACGCGCAGCAGCGGTGTCTTTCCCCGGCACGAACCCAAAGCGCGCCTCGGAGACTTCCATCTCGACCTGGCCGAGGTTCACGGGGTAGCGCTGTTCCTGCTCGAGGTAGCGTACGCCGTCCTGGGGCATCGGGACCTCGGGCCGCATGAAGGTGACCCACATTGCGCCTTCTGCGGGCTGGTCGATAAATTTGAAGAGGAAGGGTTGGCCCTTGGAGGCCAGGTCGGCCGCTTTGATGAGCATCCCGGCGGCGTGGTCGTGAGAGAGGTTCGGGTTGCGTTGGAGGTCCTCGGGGAAGACTAGGACCGGTTGGTCCGATTGTGCGACTGCCATTTTGAAGGGTAGGATATACGAGTCCGAGGGGTGTAGCGAAGATAGGAGGAGGAGGAGGAGATGAGGGTCGGGAGCAAGACGCGTCGCGGTGAACGCTCTGAACACGATGTTCAGCGCGCTTGTTTCGGCTTTAGCGCGTAGCGCGTCACCGAACGCCGACGTGACCGCACGCGTTGAACGAGATACCGTCTTGCTCTTGACGTCCATCTCGTCTGGTCAACTATCATAATGTCTTCCAAGTGAGCGCCTTAAGTAGTGTGAAGGGAGCCTCTGCCTGAACTCATCGCCAGTCACCTCGCGTCCTGCATATTCTGCAAGATCATCAAGGGTACGATGACAGCTTGGACGTCCTGGACTTGAAGGCGGTATCTAATCACCGTTGCGCGTAGGGGAAATACCGAGCTTCAAGCTCATTGAGACTGCGACCTCGTACGCCACACCGAACTCGGTCCCTCCATGTCAACTAAGTAGTGCCATGGCAGCTTCTCGTTCCTTGACATCGGCCCTCTCGCGAAGGGTCACTCGCTCGTGATCCCCAAGTGTCAGTCAACACTCTTTGTACTTCTTGCATCTGCATTAGGCTGAACTTGGTACTCTCGCAGACCATGCCGCTAAGTTGCACGAGCTCCCTGACGAGTACCTCGCCGACTCCATGATCATCGCGAAGAAGATCGCTGCAGCTCAAGGTCTCGAGAACTACAACCTGCTCCAGGTACGTCCCCTCATGAAGCGCTCTCAGTCCACGAAGTACACTAATACGCTGTTTGCGCTCAGAACAACGGCCGCATCGCACACCAAGTCAGTCCACACCTCCCTCCCCCCACACCAATGATCTAACTACATCCAATCACACAGGAAGTCGACCACGTCCACTTCCACGTCATCCCCAAGCCCTCCGCCACCGACAAAGAAGGCCTCGTCGTCGGCTGGCCAGTGCAGGAAATCTCGAAGGAGGACCTGGCGAAGTTCCACGAGGAGCTCAAGAACAAGCTTTGAATCGCGTTGGGATTTAGTACATGGTGGAATGGGCAGACTTGTATCAATAGCGGGCGTGGATATGTACGGGGAGATCTGATGGAATGCTTGTGTATATTAGGTGCTAGGGCAGCTGATGAACTTCGTGAAGTTCTATCGGTTGCTGGGTGCGCTCCCAGCGAGCGGGTCAGACGTTCGGGCCGATGTGCCGATGTCGGTGTTGGACTCGGTTTCGCGGTGCTGTGGCTTATGCTTTCGACCACCAGAGCAGCATACTCAAGTGCCTGTGGCTTTCTTCTCGGCTGATACACCGTTCCGCCGACGGTCCAGCTGCTGTACATATGTCTCAAGCAGAGACGCCAGCAGCAAACAAAGGCGCCAAGAGCGCTCACCGCGGTCAAGGACGCCCTCGGGGTCGTGGAGGTACGCGTCACTGTCTCGCTAGACTCAGAATGGGATGCTGATATCATCTCTGAATGAATAGGAAAGCCTCGTACTGAGAGTACCCAGGCGCACAACAAGCCCCCGCTAACGCACTGTGAGCGTCAAGTCTGCGCACTACTGTGGCGCGAGCGCTGAGCATCAGCTTTAATCAGTCATTGCACTGCCCATCGTACGTCTTCAATGCTATAAACTACAAAACATCTTCTGATAGCATTACCAGGGACATCATGCAGACCTCCGAACCAAAATATCCGCCTTCACCTCCGCCCTCACCTCTGCCAACCCCGCAATCTCAGGCTTAGACCCCTCGATCATAATATCCCCGCGCCGTCTGCACCTCACACTCGGCGTCATGTCCCTCGACCAACCATCCCCATCCACACCACCACCATCAACCCAGTCACAGTCAACCGAACCCCCACCAGCGACCCTAACACGCGCAACCGAACTCCTACACACTCTCCGCCCCAGAGTTCTCGAGATGCTCGGGGGAGAGCCGTTGAGGGTTGGACTGGAGAGGATGGATATTATGCCGCCTGAACGGGGGGATCCGGAGCGGGCGCATGTGTTGTGGGTTGGGCCGGATTTGGAGGGGGAGGATGGGAGGCGGTTGAGGGCTGTTTGCGGTACGTCGCGTTTCGTGCAGAGTTATGGGGTTAAGATGGCTGATTTGGGTGTAGATGTGATACAGAAGACGTTTATGGACGCTGGACTAGTAGTCGACGAACGAAGGGAGCTCAAGGTTTGTACCCGCTCTCACTGTGCATATGTGCAACGCTCACATGTCTCGCAGCTGCATTGTACAGTGGTAAACACGACATACCGCAAACCCCGCACACGCGGCCCCCGTATCCCATTCTCCTACCAATCCATCCGCACCTCCGAAGCAATATCTTCGATCCTGGCTACTCAACCATCAGCTGCCCAAGCGGACGCCGTGGCCCAACTAGCAGATGCTACTCAAGTGCTCCGATTACAAGACACGGACGCTGCTTCCAGTGCGCCCGACGGAGATCAGTCTCAACCTCGGCGTCGGAGAGAGAAGCCGAAGCCGCTGAACGTGAACTTGGGATCGTGGAGTGTGGATGAAATGCAGATTTGTAGGATGGGGAGTTATGGGCCTGAGGGGGAGTATGTAGCTGAAGCGAGGTGTTCAATCACGCCGTAGGGTGGCGTGGCGATATCTTTGTATGTTGTCATTGACCGGGGACTATCAGGATCGCTAGCTCTTACATATGTTGTATCAACGCATGATCTATTCACATATGCTATACAGGCAGAATCTCACAAGGCAACGAGTGATACATGTCCATATCGTCATCATTCATAGCAAAGCGTAGAAGCGATCATTATGAGCAAATCTCATCCGTGCTTCAAGCTTCAAGCCTCAGACCCAGACGGTCCCGGGCCAGCAGAACCAGTAAACCCCTTGACCTCATAAACCCTCTCCGGCTCCCCCTTCGGCCCCCAATACTCCTCCGGCGGCACATCCAACACAACAACCGTATACGGCACCGGCTTCTTCACAATATCGCCCGCAATCGTCGTATACCATATCCGCATCGCCTCGCGCGCCGTCTGCCCCGGAAGCTTGACAGCCGCCCACAGGCGCCCTTTGCACCGGGTGATCTCCTTGGCGCGGTCGCGCGGTTCGAGGAGCGCGCTGAAGGAGCGCGAGCCGAAGCGCTGCGTGATGCGGCGCCAGACGTCGAGGCGGTGCGTGGGCGTGTCGCCCCATGTTGCGGGGCCGGCGGCGATCCAGACGTCGTTTTGCCAGCGGGAGTCGTCTAGGGGTATGACGGGCTGCGGCGCGATCAAAGATAGTGCTGGCGGGCGGGGGGCTTGAGTGAGTTCTTCGGCAGGTGATAGTACGCGCGTTCGAGGCTGCGCAGAGGAACTGGGGATGGGGGATGTTTGTAACGCGCTCTGCTCCGGGGAAATGATAGTCAGGGCTGACGAAGCGGTGGTCTGTGGCGCGATCGACGTCGATGGTGACTGCTCAATAAGATGCGCGATCCCCTCGGCAGAAAGTGGCGAATACAACGGGGTGTTCTTCGAGGAAGCGAGTGGTTGGCCTGGCAAGTCGGGCGTTTGTGGTGGCTGTGGTGATGCCCCCGCTACCTGAGATTGCGTCCCCAAAGTAGTCGAGATTGCAGTTGCTTCGGGTGGACTGAGAGGCGGTACCGTGTTGAGGAGCAAGACTGGACCACGATGGACGGGTTTCACAGCGCCGGTGGCATGGCTGGACGTCTGCGGGACATCCACTTCTCCGACGGATGCGCGAGGAGCGGTATCATTTTCAGTCCGCGGTGACGCCGTGCTTGACACTACTGATGCCCCAGAGCCGGTCTGAGAAGGCTTCAGAGCTTGCACAATGAGCGCCCCGGAAGTGGATCGTGACGCCGCGGGGGACTGGCTCTTCGTAGTTACTGCGAAGAGCGCAGGCTTTGAGTCGGGCGGCGGATCAGATGGACCAGCATCACTCGAGCTCTCAGTGTCCGACACAGCGATCGCGCCGACGCCCGGATCAGGACCTGAGGGAGGAGTACGAGCATGGGGATCCGGAAGCGCGCTGAAGTCAACACGTCGGGCAAGAGCACGAAGAACGTCGACGATCGTAAAGATGGGGGACGGTGGGGATACGACGGTGTCCAGTTTGCTGCTGTTCTCCGAGATCCTGTGATTGAGAAGGCGGCCCTCCGGTGTGCCAAACGACGGGGAGTAGTCGAAGTTGCTACCTGGATCCGACCACTTATGCAGATTCACAGAGCGAAGGACGTCCAGAAACTCTGCTGAAGGGGCTTTCTGCCGATCGACGTCTTCCATCTCGGTATGGTCGATCCATTGAGTAAACGGAGAATCGCCGTGATTGAGCAAGACGTCGTATTCGTGCTGTCGTCGGAAGAGCTCCATCCGTGCTGGTTCAGGCGCGGCTATGATATGTGCGATCATGGTCAGGACGTTGCAAGCGGCAACATGGCGTGTCGTGTCGTTTTGCCTACAGCAGGCGCCATCGTGTAGAGGGATGAGGCAGGACCTCCCGCTCTCCTCAACATCGCCGTAATCTTTGTGTCCCTTCGCGTCCATGGAGTTGACCTGATAAGAGTTCATCAGATACAGCAGCTGCCATGGCCGGTCGATGCTTGCATAGCGGAAGGGTGTGATCTCGTCCGTGCGCTCCTTGTATTGATCGTGCTCCTCCGGATAAACATCGGACATCAGTTGAAGAGCGTCCCGTTTGATCACAAAGTCCTCCCCGCCTTCTTCGCTATGCGCAAGGAGAAGATGCCAGCGCATGTAATACAGGCAGAAGCGCGTCGTCAGGGTCGAATACGCGCTGTGCGTTGTAATAGATGAGGTCGTCAATCCGGATAGAAAGACCTGCAGATAGCGGTTGAGAGCATGACGATCTCGTCCGTAGATGTCTGCCTTTCTGTAGCGTTCATAGAATCTTTGGAACAACAAACAGCACATCCGATATCCAACAACGCTCGCCTCGTAATCCATATGTCCTTCCCAGAACGACCCAATCCGTACAAGTTTGGACTTGAGTTGTCCATCGTTCTCAAGATGAGCTATGCACGGCTCGCGCACGTCGTTCGAGATCGAGACAAGTTTTGTCATCACGAATTGGAGTAAGGTCTTCATGTTCCCATCGAACATCTGCCGACTTGTATGGTCCCAGGCGAATTTGAACCGTGCAACGGACAAGAAGGCATCGTTCGGCAGAGACGTGTACACCACGCGCCTTCTGGTAATGAAGTCGCGCGAGAACGAGGGGAGAGCTGCATTGCACCATTGCAATGCTGTTTCAAGGACGGGATGCAAATCCCGTCGCAGAAGTACGCCACGGATGAACCGGGAGCAATGACCAAGTAGCCAACGAACGAAGGAAAGCGGATATGTCAAAGGTGTTCTATACGGAGAGCTGGTGTCAAAAATTGACAGCAAACTCGCGGCGATGTACGCCAATCCCAGAACGCAAAGCACGGACACCGCACACCAGACGACAGCAAAGTTGATCGGGAACAAGAATAGCAAAAGGCCCGCGGCGAAAAGAAAAACGGATAGATGCACAAGTGCAACAAGCACGTTGACGACTTCGTCCATTCCGTAACGGTCGACACCCATTCGGATGTATACATGGTTGTACGCCCGACTGATGAGGCTCTCGTCTATGGAGTCTCGCCGCCTGATGTCGCGGGTATAATCCCGAGACCATTGCTGCACGAGAGTCGCCAAAAGGGCGCATGCCAGGACGGTGAGGAGACTGCAGAACCACAATGCATTGACGAGAATGGTTGAGATTGTCAATTGAAATGGTTCTATGGAGATGGCCTTCAATGTAGGAGACGCTGTCGCGTTCGTAGTGGCGTTCACGAGATGCGAGAGCAGGAGTACGGTTTGATCCCCAGAGTCCGGCGAAAGTGATTTATAGCTTTCAATGATAAAGGCCGCCACGGTTGCAGCGAACAATCCACTCTGTCGTGCATAAAATTCAGCAATAATCTTGCGCATGGAGGTCAAGTGACGCACAAATGTAAGAATGCTGCCCGTGTTCCCATCCCAGTCCCTCGGCCGCTCCTCGTCCTCGTCCTTCATAGCCCGCAGGTACGTCTCCCAGAACTTGTTCTCTGGGTCCTTCTTTTGATGTGAGTCATGGTTGTCAGACGAGCGTTTTGAGAGAAACTGCTCGAGAGCAGCTAGCAGGTCGTCGCTCTTGCGAGCTGAGTGTGGCATGGAGGGCGGAAGAAACGCGTGTGGCGGACACTCGGGCTTGACGGGCGCGGCGTTGATATTCAGGCCCAGGTTTATAGGGGCCGACGCGGTTAGCCGATCATTGATCTATGTAATCTAATCGTGGTTGGTGGTTTGGTGCGCGGCTGGGAACATGTACATCGCATCAGCCACCAAAGTAGTACTTACGTAGACGTTACGTCCACAGACTAGCCAGCGATCCATGACAGCGGCACTACGTGTGCTACTTTCTGAATTAGGCCTGAAGGACAGGATAAGTCTTGCAGTAAGTACAAGTAGTCGATGGGCTATGCAGTGCAGCCCCGCGGCCATCGGCCTCTTGCGGCCGTCATGTGTGAATTTGATAAGCATATATTCAAGCAAGCAGTATCTGCGGCGACGTTCATAGCCGTTGAATGACACTCGTGCCGACTGTCAAAGGGTCGGTGGGCAGAGTTACATGATACTGTTTACTGTCAAGTACGATGTTGACGCTCGAAAGAGACTGCGTGGGATCGGAAACTGTGTGACGTAGTATTAGCCCTGCGCGCTCTTCACATATGACAAAACAAAGTGCAAACCGGTCAATGTCCAGGCGCGAAGATCAACGACAAGCGCCACATTGCCGCTCGCTGACACTGTCTGGTCGGCGTAAGACACAGATCCTCCTGTGGCATCCCAGAAGACTGCAGCGAAGACCGCGTGATCGACATCGAACACTGCAGCCACCTGGTCATCGTTGGCGATAGTGAGAATGGACCGAGTTACGCTCTTGAAGAGGAAGGTCTTGAGATCCGTTCCAGGATACGCGATGTACTGCAGAGAGCGGCTGAGGTTGCCGTGCTCAAGGTACGCGGTGAAGAGGTCGACAGTGCCCTGCACGGTGGAGATGCCAATATTGGTCCAGTTGGCATCGCGCTCTCCAGCAGAGACAGTGAGCGTTGCGTTCATGTCATTGTCGAAGACGTAGCCTGTATGACCGTGCCATAGAGTAGAAACGGCTGAGAAGTTCTGTACGCCGACGTCAATCATGTTTCCGTCGACATGGATTTCTCCGGAGTAACGCCGTTGGTCAAGAACGGAAAGGACAGAAGCATTGGACTGCGAGCTGATGTTGGAGACCATCACGACTTGTGTATCATCTGAGAGGAAGAACATGGCTTTCTTCCAGCTCAAGTCCAGCGTCAGCGGGTTCGTGTATCTCATAGCCGCCGCGCCAATCTTCCCATTCGTCACAGCACCGACCATCGACTCTGTGCCCGTAACCTTCGCATCGTCACTGCTCGCTGATCAGCAGATATCTGGAGTCGTACACCGCTGAGACTCACCAGTTCAGTGGTGTGTTGCCGTAGTCTACCGTTGAGCCAGGTATCAAGTTCCAGTCCCTGCACATATAACGTCAGATGCGAACGAGAGAATCGTGACGACAGGTCCGTACCAGGCGCCAGCGATGTCCTCGTACTCGTCGCCGTTGATATACGTATAGATCGTGAAGTCGGAGAGATGGAAGCCGTAGGGGTTCTGTGCATTGGTGCACTCGGTGTTCAGTGTGCGATCGGAGTACATCTTCAACGTTGTGACATAGTTCTTCCCGCGTTGCACCTACTCACTTGTTAGAGACAGAGTACGATGAGCGCATGTACGGGAGGACCAGACATACCACGTAATCATTACTTTGGAACACGCGAAGTCCCTGGAGTCCGCCCGCATTCGCGCTACTGACCTCTTTCTCCAGACCATTATAAACGTCTTGGAGTGCCTGAGAGTTCCACAACTCGCCAAGTGTCTAGTACCATGCTAATCAACCGCCGCTCAATGCATATAAAAGGGGACCTGGTCGTACCAAGACTTCCGTCAAGTTGATCTTGAGACCCGCGGTCGCCTGATTGTCGTCGGTCGGGAAACTGATCATGCGCCCAACGCACGACTACAATGCCTGATCAGCCCTTGTTCGTGCCACCACGGAGAACTTCATGAATCGCACCAGATCCCAGTGAAGTACGCCAGTGGCCGTGTTGTAGACGATCATCCACTGATTGGCATCCCAGAACGACTCGAAAGCTTGCATACCCGTGTCGTTGGCTGCAAACTCGCTCCCACCAGCTTCGATTTCAAGTGCCATGACGTCGTTTGCGAAGTCTTTGCCATAGTTGCCGCTACGCATGGTCAGAAGCTGACACTGAAGCGGCGAGTCTTGACTCACTTGTATAAGAGACCCAGATGCTGACCGAAGCTGCCATCCGGCTTGATGCCGTCCGCTTTGATATCAGGCACGGGAACAAGCTGGGATGCAAGTTCAGCTCAACCCAGACTGTAAGACTGTAAGAATGGAGAAGGGCGCACCTGAATATCAACGTGGTTGAAGGCTTCTGCCATAGTCGTGGTATTGCCGGTCAACAACCCTAAGTCAACACCAATCTACACCGCGATCAGTACGGCCACCAGAGGGAGGTGAGCGCTCAATAGCCGTACCGCGGCCAGAAGAAGACCATTCGAACCGGAGGAGTGGCCAGGGCTTACGGTGTTGAAGAACTCGCCATACCCGCGACTGAGGATCTCCTCGCACTTGCTCAGTTGACTGGAAGTGAGCGTTGAGTTCGCCAGCACGCAGGCCTCTCCCACGTAGGTAGGTATCAGAATGGCCTATTGTGCTGGTCAGAAACGATACTGGAGACCGGCGAAGAAGATGAATTACGTTCGAGTACCAGTTTTGGTTCCAACTGGCACGAGACAGTCAGTCTTTTGTCTGCCGGATGAACTCTTGCGCGACGTACAGGCCAGGCGTACCGCAAGCGCAGTCTCCTTTCTTGACGTTACCTCCGAAGTCCAAGCAGTCCTGAGCATGTATGAGATAGCGAAGCAGTGCAGAGGTTGGCGAGCGCACCGTGTTATTGAAGTCATTCGCGAACCACCAATCCATCGCGGACAAGAACCCCGAAGCGAGATCCTGATCCGCTACCCATTGATCCGATGAAGGTAATCCGCCGTGCCAGGCCGCAGTGAGAGTGACTGAGTGAACTGTATCAGCAACATTGATCTCACGGGTAGAGCCTACAACTCACCGATACGCTCCCAGTGCTCCTGGGCCGGCCAGTTGGCTTTCTGCGCATCACACCCCGACGTGTAGTCGACATCTGGCCAGGTGCCGTTCGCGGTAAGAGTATCAAGCCACGTTTGGACATTCGCCACGCCTGAAACATCTCGTAGCAGGAAGTCGATGCGGCGGTTGAGGATCGTATCGAAGATGGATGAAGTGGTCGCATTCGGTAGGGTAGTCGGAGTAGCAGTCGATGACAATGTACTTGCGGTGGTAGAGGTAAAGCTCGTGGGAATGGATGTTCGAGCGACGTCTGATGCAGTAGTGACTGTCGACGACGAAATGCTCGTCGCATTGGCGTCGGTTGAAGGTTGGGAGGGAGCGGTCGACGCCGAAGCGAGAGATATCGAGGTTGAGTATGCATTGACGGCGCGGCGGCCCCAGTGGGGATTGCGACCATGATGTAGGTTGGTGGCAAAGGCGGCGTTCAGTAAAGACAGGTTGGAAAGAGTGAAAAGGGCCGCCAATTTGGGGCTACAAAACTGGCGATTAGCCATATCGAAGGCAAACAGGACGTGAACGAGATGTAACTCTGGTCTGCGTGCCCTCTGCGCTTATAAGGAGCCGATTTGATGGTATTCTGCCGCGGGTGTGTTGTGATGCATGGAGGTTTACAAGCACCATGTTAGAGTATAGATGGTCGGATATTGCGGAGTCTTGGCGAAGTACGGTTGCCCGGGGTCGGATCTTCTAGCAGTATTCGCCGCCGTTGCATGATGCCTACCCGATGCATATGGCACTGGGTCACAGTCAACGGACTGAATGGGGGATTTGTCCGAAGGACATCCGGCGCGACCCAGCACTCGTCGGGCAACGAGAGCCCTTCAGACGACGATACAGATACAGATGAGCGCTGTGCGGCGTCGGTAAGCGCCAAATATTCCTCGATGCTAGTTGGGGGGTAAGTTGGACACCGCTACTTGTTGAGCTTTTAGTTGGGCGATCTGGGTAACCGTACAACTTGGTAGCGGCCAATCGTTCGTGTGCCTTGTAATGCGGTAGTCCCCGGCAAGCAGCGGTTGTGAGGCGTATCTGGTAAAGAGTTGAAAGCATGTAGTAGCCGTAGTGCGCATTGAGCAAAGGACGGTCATCGGTAGCCGCGAGTTGCGCTGATTGGCGCGCGTGAAGCAGTTCGGCGCACACTCGCAAACGTTGCTATTCGATAGCGAGTGCGCTCATGTAGAAGCGGCTAGCGAGAGCCGGCTTCATAGTCCGTCGGGTGAGGGAGTACAATCGTTGTATAGAATTGGCCGTCGGCTCGCTATGGGCCGATGGTGGTTCGGGAGAGAGGTAGGTGGCGCGTTGAAGCGCGTCTCGTCAATATGCAGATGCCTTTGCCACGGTATTAGTTGAACCTGACACCCATGTCTGTACCAGTACCTGCGTATCATGTAGTCTCTGTACGCAGAGCGCACTGCGCGATACCACGGCTTGCATACTGCTTGTCGTCGCTCTCAAAATTGGCTTGCACGCTGCACTTTTCCTATGGCGCCGCTTCGGGGTCGCGTCGTGCAGACCGAACGAAGGACTTTTGACTAGGACGGGGAGTAGGTCGCCCGTTTAGCGTCTTGCTACATCACTATACAACGTCAAAAGGAAACGTACTCAAGAAAGTCTAGACTTCAGCGGTGTGCGCTATTACCATCTGCGTACCGCGCCAGTTGCGCTGCGCCCACGATCACTTTCGTGTGCTATCTTCGTCCCTGACCGCAGTCAGGCTGCTTCGCGCCTTGTGTTGAGCTTTAAGTGCATTGTCTCCGCGCTCACCCGCTCTTTGTCACCCACCATCCCGGCTGGTGCGAAGCTCAATGAGCTCTACCTATCTTCTAGGGGTTTTAATCGCCGCCGCGGCTCCTCGCGTGTTTGGTCAAGCTCAACACGCTCAAACCCCCTTCCAACTCGCGAGCGAAGTTGGAGAGCAGGCATGGGATACAGAGCCTAGCATTGATGCAACTGGTCATCTCCTCTTCAACTCCGTGAGCTCGCTCATGCAGCGCTGGCCGAACACCGTTGTGCGTCCTGGTGAGTGTGTTGTTCCCGAACGCGCCGGCCGCGGCGATGACTTATCAGATAGCGCCCGGATCTATCGCGTCGGCCGCCCATGCTGATCGCACCTCGCAGGTCACTCCATCGCACCTTGTATCGTCCCCGCCGGCACGGTGTTCTACCACGGACGGCCATCATCATCTATACCAACAGAACCGGACTGGCTAGCGTTCGACTTCGAGCACGCCTACAACTTTGCGCGCGGGGAGAGCGGTCATGTACTGACCTTTGCGACCACACGGCCTCTCCGGCTCGTATACTTTGACGGATCAAGCGCCGCCAAGGTCGCCGATGGCGCCTACGATACTCAGGAGATCGTGATGTACAACGAGGTCAGAGATGATGGCAGGCTTGGGTGGGGCGAAGATGTGCGCATCAAGCACCTCTGTGAATGGGGTGTGCCGCGCGGGATCGATGGCTTTGTGCGAATGGAGTTCCACTTGTATGTTGTACTCTCTGTATCATGCCAGGGCACTGCTGACCCAACGTTAGCGAGGTGATGCAATGCAACTTTACCGAAGGACTCCAACTCCTCTCAGCCGGCGACGTTCTTCCCCATGATGACCCACGCCCATGGCAACACGCACCGTCTAGGTCAGGTCCTTCTGGGGTTCGGATTTCCCGTGACAGGCCCGACTCTGCCTTGAGCTCAACCTCGGACGACGAGCCAAAACCGCCCAGACGCCGTCCGGGCGGGCCTCCCAAGCCGGCTCCTTCCGGCTGGCGCGGCTCACTGCCCGCGACTGGTGATGAGGCTCGCGTTGCGGGCAAATGGCACGACCGCGCGCCAGGAGAGACACGAGTGCGCATCCTGTACGACAAGCTCATTACCTTCTACGACCCGGCTGTCACAAGCCTCCTCGAGCTACGCCGTGGCAAACCTCGCGAACAACACCGGTTGAAGGGCATATCACTCGAAGAAGCCGCGATGAAGGCACGCGAGCTCGAGGAAGTCACGCAGGTCTGGGACGATAGCGGCCGGAGCGGCGTTGACTGGGGCAGCATCACCCACGTCGTGATCGAGCGTTACGCGCAACGCCTTGAGCTCCTCGCACATACCTTGTCAAACGCGTCGTACCCGGGATCACGCGAGCGTGCAGCCAAAGCGCGCGCACAGGTGCTCATGATGCTTGCACCGTACTTCACCACAGCGGACTCGCCGCGGGATGACGAAGCCGCCGCCGACAAAGCCTGGTTGGCCCCGGTGGTACAACGCTGTTCAACAACGCACACGTTCGGGATCCCAGCCGGGCTTCTGACGCCGCAAGAGCGCCTTATACATGGTGCAGTTGAGGACGTGACACACGAGATCTGCCGGCGACTTGGAAGGATGTTCCACGCAGCTTTCGACGTAGAGAATGCTCAATTGGGGGAGAAGACCGTTGAGGATGTCGTGCATTTCATGAGGTCGGAGGTCGACGCTTTGATGGAGTGGCTTGATTGGACAGCAGTATGGCTCAAGTGTAGGCCAGAGTGCTCCATCGAGGTGCGTTTCGATCAACACTGCCAGACACGGCCACTGATATCCGTGCAGGAGATGTGTATTGTTCCAACTTGGCCCTTCCGGCGCGGAGAAGACAAGAATGACACCAGGCATCCTTACTGCGTACCGATGCCCAACGTCTGATCCCCGAGGAGGATATCATATAGATTGCTCCCCTCTTGTACGCTCTTCAACATCTGTAATGTATTGTGACGGACGCTTGCTTCGACCTTCACGTCATTGGCCAACGCAATGTCCATTCGCATTGACCCATTGTCTTTTGTCCAAGACCGAAACTCGGTAGCGGAACCACACACATTCTGTGGTTCACCTCGGATCCATGCTCACCATAGACCACACAGTCAGTCGAGCTATATAAACCGACACGCTCACGTCCATTCACTTATCGCCCCTCCACCCACATCCAAACTTGAACATTGCCAAGGCTTCATGTCCGCTCAAACTATGTCGACTACGATCTGCACGACCTCCACGCTCACTCCATTCCACGGTACCACCACCCATACCTTGCCTGTGCGGCTTATCAATCAACTGAAGGCGCATATCACGTTCCTGCACTCTTTCGCGAACGAGCTCGAGACGGAAGCCATCCAAGAGATGGCAGCGGCCAGGAAAGAGAAGAGGTTCATGGACAAAATTGTGCGGAATGTGCGAGTCCGTCAGGCAGCGCTGCAGGCATGGGGCGTAGAAGGGTTGAATGCCGTATTGAGGGAGACCAATGTCAGATTCTTGACGAAGAGGAGGATCGCGGCGGAGAAATGGAGCGTAGCACTGCAAGCGCGCGAGGAGATTCGGAAGGTAGAAGAGAGGCTATCATGATCCTGGGGAGGAGAAGCAGAATGCTTGCTGCTGTACAGCCTAGCTATGCCATCGTATTCATGCGTAGACAGGAAAGAGTGGGGAAGCCTACAATAATATCGCAATGCATTCACCTTATATCACCCAGGCGCGGCCCGGCCCGTCGGGCCGATTCAAGCGTCAGCGTCTCGCGCTTCATTCGGTTGGTTCTCAACCACCAGTAGGAGTTGAACATGGCGAAGGACACAAGGCACGATAGCCCATGATGTACCGTTCTAATCAAGTCTGACTCTGAGATATATGATGACAGAGTCAAATCCCTTTTGGACGAGCGCACGGCCTTTTACAGCACTATCGCGCAGGAACGGTTTCTCGAAGCTGCAACTGAACGTATCGCCGCCTTCGATGAAGAACTGGGCGACATCAAGAATAGTCTGGCCCTTCTTCTTAGGCAGCGAAATATGCTCGTCACTGCATATCGTCTCCCAGTTGAGCTACTCTGTCACATATTCTCCGACCTCTCGCAACTGGAACCGCATTATTACCCGGATCCCGCAGACCACGAGAAGTATGCTTCAGGAGTTCTGCGTCCTCGTATGGGCTGGATCAAGGCTGCTACACAAGTCTGCGGGAACTGGAGACAAGTGGCTCTTGCAGACACAAGCCTCTGGCGCATAACTACTACGAGTCTCGGGAGGGAGTGGGAGGCTCGAATGCTCCGCCTCAGTGGAGGGCGACCGACCGAATTCGACGTGTGGGATGGATGGGAGGGCGAGGCCTGGATACCAGATCCCTCTCTTCAGCCCATGATGCTCTCGATAGCAAAGCTTCAGATTATCGGTCCAGATCTGGACCAGGGATCCTGGCGCAAATTGGCGGTGCCACCAGCGATACGCGTGCTTCGCCTGCACACCTTTTCGGACAACCATGGCTATCCTTCCGTCCCAGACCCTATCTTCTACGGGGGGCTTGGGGACACCCTGCGCGAGCTCTACATGCAGAACTTCCGTGTAGGAGCGTCTGCGATCCGAACCTTTCCTCACAGCATCACCCATCTAACGTTAACAACAACGCAAGGGTCGGACAACGATCATTATTTCTTTATGTCGGTCCTCAATGGCTGCTTGAACCATCTTCCCAACCTGGAAAGCCTTGTAATCAAGCGATATTTTTTTGGGTCGACGAAGACGACATCACCCCCGATAACCTGGCGCCCATCGAACGACCTCATCTCGCGAATGTCGAAATCTTTTCGTCGTGGGACGCTATATTCATCCTGCTCCTGCGCCTTCGCGCATCGCCTACTGTGCGATACACCTTGGCGAGTGAATGCCCATTCGACTCTCCGCCCGAGCCCAACGTCGCCGTGGACATCAAATTATCGCTCGCAAACTATCTCACAACCAATCGGGAAACGTCGATCCTCTCCCAGATGAAGACCGTGGAATGGAGATCCTGTTCGCCTTCTGCGTGGCGCGGCCGGATTGCTGGCACGAATGTCCCGGCTGGGTCTGTAGATCCGGTCTTTCGCAAGACGTTGGTCCTTTCAGCTTGGCGCGAGGATAACCCCGACTATCTTCTATCTGATTACGTTGGCTATGGCTCTCCTCCCAACCCCGACTTTCACTTTGCCTTCGACTTCAGCGATGAATCAGTTGAATACTGCATCATAGACGAGATCTTACCTCTCGACATCTTTCCCTCTGCCCGCTGTCTCTCTCTTCAGTCGGGTCGATTGCGCTTCGACATAATTGATTGGAGAGGGCTCTTCGAGTCCGTTTCTATGCTTACTTGGCTCAGACTCGACCGCAATGTCGCTGAAATGTTCTTGAACTCGCGCTCTGAACCATGGAAATCACTCCCCAAGCGTGTCAAGACCATCGCTTTGCTGGGAGTGAATTGGGGCCTTTACAGTGGAGAGGAGCGTGGGCCTGATAGGTCGCTTGCGCGACTTTGGACAGCGCGCAGCAAGACGGGATCTTCGCTCGAACGTGTCATCGTCGGGCATACGTCCATCCGTTACGATTACTTCAATGAGTGCGTTCACGATGCCGGCGTCGTACTCGCCGAAGTGCATCGACCAGAGTGGCTGGATGAAGGGCACGAAGACTGGGACGAACAAACGGACTGGTGACCTCTCGTCACCCGTACAAGCAGACACTGTCTATCGTATCTTCCACACATTACAATGCCGTTCCAGCCAATCAGACTAGATTCCCGCATTCATACAGGCTTCGCTCGAGAAGGGCGAGAGTGGACCGACAACGCTCCCGTCGGTACGACGCGGAATGAACTTGGCATAAATGGTTCTCTCGCCCGTCGTCTGGTACGCGGCATGATGACAAAGAGGGTTCCCCGGCGTATTACCACAAGCGCTTCGCAAGCCCGTGGGAACCCTCAGTGTGCATAGAGCAGAGCCTGCGTGTGCACATTTTCATGCTCAGCTCGCAGTGGCACTGGACAACTCCAGGCCGCTCTACCTTCCTGACACAGCGAGCACGTACCACACTACGTACCCGTCCAAGTCTCGATGCGCACAAACATGTGAAGAGAAGACGGCGCAGAAGATGACACCCAAAGGCCCAGGCGTTTCGCACTCGTACCACGATCCTCTCTGGTACTAGCAGCGACCGCACCCGGACCCGCGCGTCACCGCAACCCCGTACGCCATCCATCGCTCGGCCTCACTTCGCATCTTCGATGTTGTTTGAACAACTGTTCCCAGTTCGAAACACCCACCCCGCCTTTCGGACTCAGAATCCGACAACCGCTACAAGCTACCTACTTCGACGCCACTCTCCCGCCGCCTTCGCAGGATTAATAGACGCCCCGATTCCCGCCGCGCAGCTGTGCTCGCGGATCGGGCTCGGGCTCATGCTAGCAAGTCTATGCATCGAAGTGAGATGGACGCGGGGCCCCGCTCTCCGCGCCGCGCTCGCACGCGAACAGAAGATGAGCGTCTCCGTTGCCGGTTGCTGAGAACATAGGCGCATATACGCATATATGCGCCGAGAAAGAGCTGGCTTGATTGGGGAGATGGCTGGGCGCGTGTGTTGGGCATGTCTTTGTGTCTCGTACGCTGCGGTCTCGACGGTGAGCCGCCGGAATGAAAAGAGGGTTCATCGGCATATAATCGCACTCTTCATGTTTTGTTGGGCTCCAATTGTAGAGGGTCGTGGAGCTGAATGAACATGTGCAGTGCATAAGCAAGTGCTTGAGGATATGTGCAGAGCATCAGACGACGGCGTTCAACATCACGGAGGAAGGATGTGGAGTTGATTGACAGCTTGCTGCCGTAGAAGTGTGTTTGTTGATCCATATAGACGCATACATGCATGTTTAAGGGCTTGAAGCGGCGAAAGTGGCGTCGGCGCAAAGAGCTCAGGAGTTCGCCGCCACCGAGACTCAGCCACCTCGGCCGGCGACCGGGCGTCTGCTGATGGCTAGTAGAGCTATCTTAAGGGCTCCTTTACGCCGCGGAGAAGTCGCGGAATTGGATTCAACATGCGGAAGCTCACAGCCGTCGAGAATAGTAGCCGCAGCTGTTTAGTCCATCTATTCGCGGCGAAGTTCGCCACACGCTCCACAGCCCTACTTCTTGCTCAGCAGCCGTAATGTCCGATGAATAAAGATTCATCCAAATGGTAGAGCAGAAGGCGGAGTACCGGAGTCATGCAACGCAGCTGGTCGAGGTCGAAGTCAAAGATCAAGAAGACTGAGTACTATGGGCTTCTCTATGCCGCGTCCGACAGTCTGAGTCTCCACCGCCACGCATCGAGTATAATCTCCGACACCTATGGGTCCATTCAGATGACGGGGCGGCGGAGGTTCGCCCATAGCACGACGAAGGACACCGATTGATGGTGGCCATGAAGGGACAACTGTCATACACGCGTGCGCCGCCGCGAGCGTTCCAGCCTGAAGCCTATACTAGCAGATACATCTTTTGGCTCAATACCATCCAGATGACTCTACAAGGTAACGAATATCGATGTACAGTACACATCGTCTCCGCTCGTGTCCGCCCGAGACTTCTATTCGCCTGCCAAGCCGCCGCCCGCCGAGCATACTAGAGAAGAACAGCGCGGCCTCCTCTCATCCCAGCGCCGGCCGACGTGTGTAGGCGCGAATAAGCCACACGGCGTACACATGCCACAAGCGCATACAAGGCGCATATACACTCCCTCCTCCATCAGCTGTCTTGTGTTCCTGAGCGCCTGCACGTAAACGAACAATGGACAGAAACGAAGCGCAGATGATGATCAGCTGCCAGGAGCACGGAGAAGTCGCGCGGAGGTACGAACCTTGTTTCCTTAACATCCTATCCTTATCCTTATCCCAACATATTCTAACCCGCATCTACCCATCAGCTGTATGCGCGCTTTCCAAGGGGGTAACTTGGTGTTGGATTGACCCTCGGACACGCCGGGCGGACTGCGCGGAGATGATGATGGTATCCGATAATCGGTGTGTGCAGGACTTAAACCTCAAAGTGGAGGACAGAGCTGCGGTGGGTGGTACTGTAGTGGAGATCCGTCTGTAGCCTGTAAACCGCGTACCACATCCTGGCAACACGGGGCGGAACGGGTGAGTTCCGTCTCGCACGATGAGCCCGGGGGCGGGAGAAGACCGTTAGCACATACGCCGAAATGTGAGAAGAGCCGTGCGAGATCGAGTGAAGGCTGAGAAAGGGCTCGTGCTGGCGCTACGGTAGTGAGGCGGAATGACAATGAAGTGAAAGAGAAGACTGCACTGCAGGCGTAGCAGATAACAAGAGATATCGAGGCGAAGTCTAGAGTTCAGAGTCTGGCCACAGTTCAATGGTTCTTGAGATGAGCGCAAAGCCTCCGGCGATGACGAGGGTACCATGTATAGAGCGAGGTACTCATCCTCTCAGCGAAACAGCCGCCCGCGGATGTTGACACGGCCAGAGAAGCTGGGCGACTGGAAGAAGCCCACGTTCGAAAATGGGCTCGAGCACGCGCGGAGGGCGGAGAAATACACCCCACCGTCCCAGCGGGACCTTGATCTTCCCTCGCGAGTTCAGGGCAGAAGGTGCACTGCGCTGCCACAGATAGGATGGACGGGTGAATACGGGAATACAGGCCTCGAGGCCTGTCTTTGAGTGTGCGATAGGCAGCAGTTGACCTCAGCGGGGGTGTACGGGGTCAGTGCTTGAGTCCCCGTTGATATAGGATGCTGACTGCGGGTATGACGTTCGAGTGAAGGGTCGCGATAACCGTTGTAGTGACTGCATTCAGATGCATAGGGGCGTGTACGACGAGAGCGGCCGGGCTACATGCCAGCATCTGCACGGTGGCGGATTGCAATAGGGCTTTCCACGAGTGGATACAACGCGTGAAAGCGTTGAGCGAATGTCGCCAAGACCGAGCCGAGTGCGATGTTCCTGGGCTATAGAGTGGCACAGAGGCGTGTAAGTCGCCGGCAGGGCTGCTGGGGAACGCGAACGCCAAAAGCGGGCGTGAGCAAAGGCCTCCGTGTCGATTTCATATCCGTATACGCGCCCGGTGCTGACAGCCTGCTTTATCGGGCACTGGAGATGAAGCAGATAGGACGACGGAGATGTGATATGCGCGGGGAAACCGACATGGCCGTCTCTGAATCTCGCAGGCCGCAGTGTCAATGGGTATTCAAAGCGAACAGCGCGGAAGACTGAATGGGACCTGCGCGTTTGCTTCGTGACAGCGAGGGATGGGAAGTGGATGGTCCGGTCGAGAGCGCTGCCACGATTGCAAAAGGCGCCCTGGGATGTGAGAGCGTGTTGGACGCGTTCGCTGGCAGTCGGATCGTCACTTATTACTTTAATCCGAAACCGTCCATTTCTCGATCGATGTTCTACGCGTGCTCGAAGCTCGGATGCGAGGCAAAGTGGGTGTAAAGTCGAGCGTAAAAGCTGATCACAAATGCGAACAATGTACTGCCCCTCTGGTTGATCTGGACTGGGCTCGAGGCACTGTAGCCCGATACGGGCTTCTGTTGGGTACTCCACGAATTTCTCCGAGGCGGCTGCGAAGGGCGGTCGCATCAGCTGCACGGCGAAGGGGTGCAGTGGTAAGTAGAGTGTCATTAGGCCGACGATAGACCGGAAGCGCGCAAAAACGGGGCTCGAGAACAAGTTGCGGGGATCTCAGAAACAGATCCCACGCGACGCGTCCATTACGCGTCCTGGTATATCTCCTGCGCCGTTCTTGCCTCCGACCTTCTTCTTCTCCAGCCCATTGTCGCCTTTACCTCCACCTTTAATCGAACAAATATGCCCGGCACACCAGTATCATCTGCACCTGGCCAGCCCATGCAGCGCCAGTTCAACCCGTACTCGGACAACGGCGGCACCATCCTCGCCATCGCCGGCAAGGACTTTACCATCATCGCCGGTGACACGCGCCAGAGCGAAGGCTACAATATCCAGACACGTTATGCACCCAAAGTATTCCGTCTGTGAGCACGAATATACTTCAGATCACCGAATATCCACTGACGCGTCGCGACGCGCGTCTCAGAACAGACCGTGCGGTGTTGGCCGTCAACGGCTTCGCAGCGGACGGTAACATGTTTGTGAAGAAGGTCAAGCAAAGATTGGAAGTATGTATAGTGTGCGGTTATATTAAACGCCTGCTAATGTCCGATCAGTGGTACAAGCATGCGCACGCAAAGGACATGCCGTTGCGGGCGATTGCGCGTCTAATCCAGACAATGCTATACGCCCAGCGCTTCTTCCCCTACTACGTTTACAACATCCTCGGCGGCATCGAGGAAGACGGTATGTGTTCTATTCCACGTGCTATGACCCGTACTGACCACCACACGCACAGGCTCGGGCGCAGTCTACAGCTTTGACCCCGTGGGCAGCTACGAGCGTGAAGCATGCCGCGCAGCAGGCGCCGCACAATCTCTCGTCCAGCCGTTCCTCGACAATCAGGTCGGTTTCAACATCCCGTACGCCCGCCCGAGCTTAACCCGCTGACGTTCCGCAGATATACTTCAAGAACCAGGTAGCGCCTACCGGCCAGGCGCACCCGACACATCTTCCGCTTCAGGAAGTACTCAACATTGTTATCGACTCCTTTACCAGCGCAACGGAACGGCATATCGAGGTGAGCGTTTGACTACTATCTCTAATCATGAATCCCGCCCTTTCCTCGGCCCGCAAGTCTTAAGGGTCGGGCGCGTTCCTGTGTCTCGTATATGCGTGCATGACCAAGCCGCTGACGCATACGTTCCTCTCGCTAGGTCGGCGACGGTCTCGAGATGTACATCGTGCTCGCCAGGGGCCGGAGTCTGCAAAGTCTGGGCATGAACATCGACGCGCAGGAGGTGAGCGCGCGGCCAGACGGCGAGCGCGTGTTCGTCGTCCGCCGGGACTTGAAGAAGGACTAATCTCGCATCTTTCACGACGTTAACGCACTGTACTCGTACCCGTCCTACTTATTTGTCGTTCTGCCGCGCCATCCCTTGCATTTCTCCGGACACCCGCTCCCTCTCAAAGGGCCTCGGTTTCTGACGCCATGGACCGTCCGCCTCACGCCATAGACAGCGCCTCTGGCGTATAACCACATGCATGTACTGGGTCTGCCTTCAGTATGCTCTCGTTGTAGTTTAGCTTCCTATGCCAACTATTCAATACTCTGGCCATACGGGCATCTCATCCACGTGGAAGCCACGCGTGATCGGCGCCAAGATCATGGCGCGACGAGATGGATGGAAGTTCGTCTTCCACCCCGCGCGCGTCTTGCTTCCTACCACGCATACCCCGCGTTCTTCTCACTTATCAGGCTCTAAAGAGCGAGTGTTAATCCAACTTGGCTATACCTTGGCCCAATAGAAGCACGTGTCACACGACTCATGCTCTGTGTATGCGTACGCTCACAGACATACACTCTCGGTTAAACAAGCCCTTTCACCTGACCTGTACTCGGCAACCTTGTATCGTGTATCAAGCCAACACCAGCCGATCGTCAAACGTCAAACCGAACGAAACAACATCTGCAAACCAGGAATCCCTTAGAAAGCGTTAGCAACGCTCGGTAACGACGCTAACAGCAGTAAGAGCCGGTAAGCGTTTCAAACGACCGCAAGAGCTCCCGCCTCGTGTTGGAACCGTGCCGCACACAGTTTCGACCTTATCATTTCGTCCCTCCCTTCTGTTGTTAGGTGTCATACTGCTAGTCCTTGAGAATACCTCTCGGCCCATGCAATTTTGACGCGAAAAGATGTAGGGGCTGTGAGGATACAGGCGCCACAAACAAGCCACGACCCGCGCGAACCTTGTCGGCCATTGCCGAGGCACGCGAGAGCCACGCTTTCTTGACGCTTTCTGGCCGTTTGAAACGCTTAACGGCTCTTACCGTCGTTATCGTTGTTACCGAGTGTTACTAACACTTGTTAAGGGATTCCCGGTTTGCAGATGAAAGCCCTCGCGGCTTCTGGCGCCATAATCCAAACGCTCTCGGCCAAATCGCACTCTTCCGAGCACGTACACCTGACCTTGCGACTCAATGGGCGAACGGAGATTTCGTGCGCTTGAAGCCTCTTCCTTTCCGGTACATGCTTGTGAGGCGTGTGTGACTCGGTCTGCGGCGGGCCGTGTTAGAAGGACTTCGCTCGTGCGCTGTCCTATCATGTTCTTCATCTAGGTTGTTGAGGCGATGAAGATGAAACGACGGCCGGAACGGGCCTGAGGGTGGTTCTATCTCTAGTGCGGACTCAGGTGAGGCTTCAGGGTTGAATGTGCAAAGCTCCTTCGAGGATAGGTGATAGGGCGCGTGCATGAGATGAGACGAGAGGATGAGACTCAGAGGTCGCGCTATTCTCGTCTATGAGAAGGCTTGGCACGACAGGTGGGATGTGGCGCGGTACGAGTTGACGTTGGGCGAGTAGGTATGAACTGTGCTACCACCACCACAGCTTCACGGGAACCTGAACGCAAACTGACAGGACATTACCTCTGCACATGACTGCGTCGCTCCCTGCCAGCATGAGATGGCAGCGGGCACGAGAGGGCCACTTCCTCGTGGACATGGATGTGGGCACGAAGTCGGCTGGGCTGTAAGCAACGCGGCCGTCTCGCTTTCTCACGACGTACCCCTCTGCAACGTGCACCATCGGGCCGCGGCGGCCACACAATACATCGAAGGATGCTTCTGCCGCATCACAAAGCTTGTTCATGAGCAGTAACGAGCGCGTCAACTTTTGCGATATTATCCCGCTCGCACATGGAAATCACGGAAAATAGCGCGAATAATTCACCGAGTACAGTACGATCAAGCTCATACTTCGCTCATAGCCACAAAGTCTACCTGTGCTTGCGCCCGTACGCGCGAATAAACCAATGTTGTTTGAACAAACACCCGGACGCCGCGCCGTGACCCGCCAACGACCAAAGGTCGATTTTTCCGCGCATTCAGCTTCGGCAGAATCGGGCAGGGTCTGCTTGCGCACATGAACACCGGCGCGCATGAGCGTGAAGGCTATATAGTGCTCTCTCCGAGTCGGGTTATCTGATCGTGTAGCCGTGGAATGAGCAATGCGAAGTGGTCGAAGCGAATGGCGGCGCCGCGCAGGGTGTGACGCTTCTGACCCTCGAACCTGGTGATCGTGTGCATGCGGCAATTCTGCTGAGTCTGAGTCTGGCTTTTGATCTCTTAAACGCACGGTGTGTAATAACATCAGGGATCACGAATGGATGCCAAGTACTCAGCGAGGACGTCGACGAATCACTCGCGTGCGCTCGGAGCGCACGCGAGTGATTGTCTTGACCGCTTCTGAAGGTCACGGTTCGTCGGAGAGGTAACCGGAACCCTCCATGGTGTCTGCGAACAGTTATACGAGCGGCTGATAAGGCTAAGCAAAGCGGACTAGGGCAATAGCGAGCCCACAGTTCGCCACCTTGGATTCGAGGGACGGGATCGGGCGTCCTGAGCGAACTAGGGTTAGGGTCAGCGCCGCAATAGCGCCGCAATATAACTGCTATAGGGCCGCGAGCGGCAAGACCCGCTACGGCAGGCAAGTCCGGTTGCGAGCGACGCATCGCACGCGGTCCCATGACTATGTAGTGGTTGTGCGCGTTTCGATTGAGAATGATGCTTGCAACCTTGCCCGGGGACAGCGGGAAATCAGGAGCAACCGTTAGGCATGTATCGTAATATGCCCATTGAGCAATACTTGTACGTATCGCACCGAAACAGCACGCAGAGTGTCGTATGCGACGCGAAAGGGAGAAACACCACGCGGAGGCTCGTTACTCGAGGCGCTAGCCGTGGTTCCGCGGTTTCAGGGTATGCCGGAATTCGAACGACAGTTCTATGTAAGCGATATATATATATATAAGATGTGCCCCTCTGAGCAAATGGCGCTCCCTGTTCATGTCCACGGGCAGCTGCTGGACCCGAACATCGTCGCACATGATCCGGGTGCGCTCCCCGTTGCCGAAGGACTACTTAGCGTACGGCAGGGAACGCACGCTGTCGTGGGTCGACAGTCTCCGCTGGAGTGCCCAGGCTGATGCCCTTCGACAATAGAGTGCAGCAGCGACGTCAGATGCTACTCAACACTGCCCTGAAAGCGAAGCAGTCGGCATTTCCGCACCTAGCCTGTAACTTCTCGGACGTATCTTCCGAGACGACATGGGCCGTGGCAGATCGCTTGGAACGCGGCAAACCTGTTCGCAGGAATACGAGCGAAGAACGCAGAGTGTTGGAGCTCATGAATCATGTCAATGCAATCTGCAAAGACGTCCCAGGTTCTTCGGCAGGTAGATTGGCCATGCGGAATGAAATACGGGCTCTGATGATGGAGAAGGGGCTCCCGTCCTTCTACATCGTAATCAATCCCGCCGATACCTTCAATCCGATTGTCTGATTCATGGCCGGCGAGGACGTCAACCTATCGAGCCTCATGCCACTTGACCCAAGTCGCGTAGGGCATTGGCGGTAGAAGTTTCACCGACTCGAACATCATGGGAGGATGCGAGAGACAGGGAATCGGGTAGCTTCATCGTCCCAATCCGGTTCACGAGAGAGGCGAAATCGTCTCGAAGTTAGGAAGGACCTGGTACAGGTTGTATAGAAGTGCTCGATGACGAAGGGACATGAGCAGGCAAATTGTGCACCGAAGCGCGAGCGACAGCGATTGATTTATAATCAACAAGAATGGATCGTATGTACTCCCGACGGGTGAGGCGAGGAAGTCTAGGGCAGACGCAACGCTGCGTAAATGAACAAGGGGAAATTTCGCGGCGCAGATGATACTAAACATATCCATGTAGGCGAGGAGAGATGTGTATGGTTTGGAC